TCTTCCATCACCAAAAAAATCAGCTCCCTTCCCAGCGCCAGAGTTCCAAAAGGGGATCTTCTTTGAAGCTGCCCAGTCTTGCTGATTGGACCTGATGGGCTGGACTAGACGACCCTCTGGATCCCTTCTAACTCTGCAATTCTGTGATTCATTGGTTTTTTTAAATGTATTTTTATTAAAGATTTTCTTGGTTTACAAAAGTATGTGCAATGTCTCTCTCTCTCTCTCTCTCTCTCTCTTTTCAAGTAACATTTTTTACAGATCAGTTTCATTTGTTGAAACATTAGGAAGAAAAGGGGGAAAGAGGTGGAGGGGGAAAGGTGAGTGGGGTCAGGTGGCAATATTTCTATTTTACTTAATATATGTATGGGGTTTTGTGTCAGCGTCGCTTGTGCAGGTTCTCTGCTATTTGCTTGTGTTCCTTTGGTGGTGGGAGAGGTTGGGGTGGCCTAGGGTGTGGCTGTTCATTTGTGATTGGCTGTGGTGATCTTTGTTTTCAAGTATGAGTGGGGTGGGTGGGTGTTTTGGATCAGGTTAGCCATACAGTGGTACCTCGGATTAAGAACTTAATTCGTTCCGGAGGTCCGTTCTTAACCTGAAACCGTTATTTACCTGAAGCACCTCTTTAGCTAATGGGGCCTCCGGCTGCTACCACGCCGTCGGAGCACGATTTCTGTTCTCATCCTGAAGCAAAGTTCTTAACCCGAGGTACTATTTCTGGTTTACCGGAGTCTATAACCTGAAACATCTGTAACCCGAGGTACCACTGTATTGATTTGTATGCTGTTGGTGGATTTTTGTTACTGTCTTGTTGGGCTGTGTATGTGATAAAGGGGAGGCGTCTTCTTCTATTTGTCCCCATGTCAGTTTCAGTTTGTTGGTTAGTTTTTCTAATAAGGCCGTTTCCCCTACTATTTGGTACCATTGGTCCATGGTTACTCCTGACAGGTCATACCAGTGTCTGGTTATGATGTTTCTGGCTGCTGAGTTCTGAGTTCTGGTTACAAGTTCTTTGTGGTGTAAATGGGCATTATTGTCTTGGTTCTGTGATTCATTGTGAGTAAACTTGAATGAGTGGAGTGAATAGGTTAGGATTAGTTCAGTTTTAGAGCCACAGTGACTGAATTTATTTTGCATTCTGTCTGGAGCTTCTGCCTGCTTTCCCCCTGCATTGCTCCAGGCCCCTGGTCATTCTGAGTGCCATTTCTGACTTTCCCCATCTCTGCAATATCTCTTTTGAGTCTGGTTGCACTTTGTGAAGCTACAGGAATCCTGATGCTAGATTTATTTGCCCCATATGTCTGTGACATCTTTATCTTGCTCATTTGTCATCAGCTCCCGTCTTAGCCCACTTCCCCACAACTTTTAAAAGCTTTCACACGGTAACATTTCAAAATCCAGTTGTAACAGTCTATTATTTGTACCCTGACATTTTCAAAAGTATTATTGCAAGTCACAAGGCTCTTTGTACTGGAAATGGAGTCCTCCTCACTGTTTACTTATTTCATGCCAACAACTTATTGGTTAACTTGTACAGTTTCTCCTTGGCGTGAGCAATAGGTGAGCTAGTTGTTGAATCACTGCCCGTTAGGAGCAATAACTAGGTCCAGATACATTATGTGTCTCTGTGACTCCTATCAGATTGTTGTCCTGTGACGACTCCCCAGTGTTGTGATAAGGCCTAGGACTGACGTGGGCAAAGCTACAGATGGGGCACACATGGAAATCATGTCATCTTTGGAGATTCACTAGGATTTCCTCCCTGCGAAAGCTAGGGCATGACATTTCATCCTAGGGCGTTCCAGCTTTTTTCCTGATGGAAAGAGCCCTTTTCTCTCCCTGGCTTCCCTGGATGAGCAATTGATCTGCAGTTTTTGCATAAAAACTGCTGCCGAGATCCAAAGTGAGATTTAAGGTGAATCAGCTTTCCTGTTGTTCCTGTGTGGTTATCGCTGCAGCAAAGCATGCATATTTTCTTCCACAAAGTGACAACCTTCCCATCAACTGTGAAATGGTGGGCAGGGAAAAGGTGAAAAACACCTTTTTTAATGTGTTGATTTATATCACAAGATGTATATACTGCTTGATTGCAATAAAATCTCAAAGTGGCTTACAAAAAATCACTTGCACTATTTCTCTACGCAAAAGTGTGCCCCCCCACACACATTTTGGCTGCACACACACCATATATTGCAAGCACAGTTAAAGCACATGGCTCCCCCACCCTCAGAATGCTGGGAACTGCGTTCACCCCAGCATTTCCCAGGCTTCTTTAAATGCATGGTACATATGCAGCCTTTGTTTACAGAAACTGGCTGTTGGAGATTTGTAACACACTTTTGCATGCCCGCTGGGCAGTTAACCTCTCTTGCCTTGCCTTCTAAAGCAGGATGTGTTTATGAAAAGCAGGATGTTGCTGGCTTTCTATGCTGGCAATAATAGCTTGCTTTCCCAAAGTCTTATTCTTATGAAAGTTCAATAGAATGCTTTATCTCACAATAAATCTGATTCCACTTATATTTCCCTCTACTAGTGAACTTGCCTGTCTCTGTTCCTTTTCACTGTGCTTTTATGTGTGTATTTCCCCATATCAGATTAGTTTCCACACTTCTTGATGCCAGCTTTGTAATACTGTAGATTGGGTTTTAGAACCTTCCAGTTTTTAGCAATAATAAGTCTTGAACTGATGAATTAAAAAGTTGCCAAGTATTTGTCCATCAAATACAAGTAATAAAGCCAATTTTGGGTTGGGCTGTAAAAGGGGATACAAATTGAACTGACTTTAATGTGTATACTACAGAATCACAGAGGGGGGATCTCCAAGTGATCTAGTCCACCCACTGCCTAGCCTACAACTTCCTTGCTAGGTGGTCAGCCAGCCCTCTGCTTAAAAACCTCTAATTAACATTTTGTGAATGCTGTGTTTTCACCCATTTATTAACTGCTTTGAGTATAAATGAAGAGAAATGGAAGCAAATAAATATAAAAATTATATGTACCAACCCTTCCTGCTAGGTAGTTCCTCACTCTGTGCACCGGCTGCTAGTGTGGTGTTGTTGTTGTTGTTGTTGTTTGTTGTTGTTGTTTCTAGCCTCCTTCTGTCTTGACTTGAGGCAATGGAGTGCACCTCTGGGGGTGTAGTCAAACCGCTGCATTAGTGGCACTGAACTGCCACATGTGCCTAGGTGTGGCTGGTGGTTGCTGCCTCTGTTCCGATGAACTAATCAATTGAAGAAGAAACCAAGTGAGGGGGAAATTGTCTGCTTTTGTGCATCTTTGTGCTTTTTGAAGCAGACAGCTTAATTTTTTAGCTTTGGCAACAATCCAAGCCTAACCATACCTTAAGTCCAAGGAAATACCTCTGGTGTGTGCCTCTGATTTCTGCACTATTTTTATGTACTGTACACTGCTACTAAACTAAAGTTTCAAGTCTTTGAACGAGACATCTTGGCTAGCACCTTCCAATGAGTTCAATGAGGCTAATGCTGGTGACACACACAGCTGGCTCATTGAATGAAACTGATAACCCTTGATAACCCTTTCCTGTTAAACCACCCTAAGGGCTTCTCACACTTTTGGTATTGCAACCCACAAATCCAGATCTACCACTCTCTGCTGCCTTGGTCAGACCAAACCTGGAATACTGTGTCCAATTCTGGACATACCACAATTTAAGAAAGATGTTGACAAGCTGGAACGTTGACAGGTGAGGACAATGCAAATGATCAAGGGTCTGGAAACTAAGTCTTGTGAGGAGCACTTGAAGGAGCTGGGTAGGTTTAGCCTGGAAAAGAAGGTGGCTGAAGAGATATGAATGACATCTTCAAATATCTAAAGGGCTGTCACATGGAAGATGGAGCAGGCTTGTTTTCTCCTGCTCTGGAGGGGAGGATTCAAACCCGTGGCTTCAAGTTGCAAGAAAGGAGATTCTGATTAAACATCAGAAAGACCTTCCTGACAGTCAGAGCTGTTTGATAGGGCAACAGACTCTCTCAGGAGGTTGTGGCCTCGCTTTCCTTGGAGGTTTTTAAGCAGAGGTTGGAGGGCCATCTGTTACGGATGCTTTAGCTGAGATTCCTGCATTGCAGGGGGTTGGACTAGATGACCCTCGGGTCTCTTCCAGCTCTTATGATTCTATGGTATGGTGAGCCATCAACTTAATTAGCACAAGGGCAGAGGGTGTGCTTACAAATAAGAAGGTGGCAACCCCTTGGTGCCGAGGCAGCCATTTCCTGCTTCTAGCATGGCCATGACCCAAACCCAGAGCGAGTGTTTCTGGAGGCATCTGGGCCACAACACGGCGGTCCTGCTTTCCTTTGCTCCTTCTCCAGCCCAGCAACTGTGTGCCTCTTGCAGCCACGACCCTCGTTCCCCATGAAACCTGGCTCCTCTTGGTCGTGAGTTCCTGGGACAGGTCAAAGGCTTTCGTCTTTGCCGCAGTCGGCCTGGCCTTTCTCTGCTCCTGCAGCCCCTGGGATGCGGAGGGCGACGCCCTGTTTTGACTCCCCGCCGGCCATGGAGGGGTTTTCGTGGAGTCCTCAGCTGAAGGCCTTGGAGGCAGTGAAGGGGGTCCCCAAATGCAGCAGGAGACCTCGCCGCACCCCTGCTTCTCATTGGAATAAATGACCATACCAGTTACCCCGCTCAGATAGTCTTAACTGGTAACAAATCTTTCCCCATATTCTTAAAATGAAGCCCAATTTCCGCAACGCGCCTGACTCGCAAGAGGCTCTCAAAGTAACCACGGAGCCTTCCACGAAGAACTCTGCCACGGAGGGGCCTGAAAGGGGCTGGGAGCCTCTCTGCCCCCCCCGGCCCACTTCGAGGTGCCCGAGGCCGCGCGACGGAGGGACCCCTCGAAGTGGGCCCGGGAGGGGCGAGGGGGACGCGGCCCTCGGAGCCGGGCGGTCTCTCGGGGGAGCATCGCGGGCCTCGCCGGCCCCATCCTGGAGGAAAGGGGCGGCCCGAGGGGGCGCCGGCGGCTCAGGGCTCTCCCGGCCCCGCCCCCGGCCGCCCGAGTCTTAAGAAGGAGCCGCGACGGGAGCGCGAGGCGCGGACGCCCACCCGGCAGGCAGGCAGGCAGGTGAGTCCGGCCGGGGCCGCGGGGCGGGAGCGGGAGCGGAGCCCCCGCCTTCCGACTGGGACGGCGCTCCGCTCGTGCTGCTTGTTTCCGAGTCGAGGAAGGAGATTTCAGGGGGCCGCGTGAAAGCGGGCGTGGGGCCGGGAGGGGGCGGCCCTTCGGGACTTGGGGCCGGGATGCTCCCTCGGCCCTGGCTGCGCGGGGCTGGGGGAGCCCCTCCGGGCGGCTGGGGCGCAGGCAGGCAGGCAGGCAGCCCCTCGGAGCCGAGCGAGCCCGGGCGCCGGAGCCTCGGCCCGCCCTTCCCATTCCCCAGCGCCGGAGCTCCGCCCGCCCGCGGGGCGTCGTGGTCGAAGGCGGCCGAGGCAGGTTCGCATCCGCCCTCCGTGGGGAAGCCCCCGACGCCGCCTCCGGGGAGGACGGGCGACGCTTCTCTTGGGCTCGGTCACTTCAGGCTGCTTCTGTGGGGGACCCCCGCCTTGCCAGGAGGGGGAAACGGCTTGCTCGAAGAAGCCGACGCAGACCCCGACCCTCTAACTTTCTGGGCGCGGGGCGAATGCGCTGAGGACTTCCACGTCTCCCACTCGGCACCCTCTTGCATATATGCCTTCTGCCACGAGCACCGGGCATAAATGGATCAAGACACAAACTGATCTCTCCTCTGGAGATTTCAGTGCCACTGAAAGTAGCCATCATAGAATCACAGAGTTGTAGAGTTGGAAGGGACCCCAAAGGTCATCGAGTCCAACCCCCTGCAATGCAGGAATCTCAGCTAAAGTATCCAGGACAGAACTGATATTCTGCTTAATTTTTTTTAACCACCTCCAAGTGGTTTATAATTAAAAATAAAAATAAAATATCCAAATTATCATCATACATCTTTACAAGTACATATAAGTGGGAGGGGGAAACTCCCTCCTCCCCTTTTTGCACAGACAGCACTCAGGAATTTGAGAGTCACATAATGTTGTTTTGTCTTTCTGAGGGTTCTGGCTGCCTTTGCAGAAAATAGATGTTCCCAAAAGGCCATCCAGTCCACATGGTTTTAAACTGCCTTTGGCACTGGATTTACTATCTTCTCCTTTGTTTGTAAAGGCAACAAAGGTTCACCAGACTGCAGAGAATGCTTCCTTTGTCTTTCGTCCTCTGGTGAGGCACAACTTCTGGGTTGGTTTTTTGGTTAAAGCCAATTTCTCGGACTCTCTGTTATACCATTTCTGGATGGCTATTCCTTTTCAAGTCTTTGCTATTTGAGTCCTTTCTAGAAAGCAACACTTTGAAAGATGTGTTTGTGCTCTCTTTTGATACATTGCTAGTGAGCCGTACCCATAATGAGAAGACTGTAAGGGCAGGAAGCCTTTGAATGAGAAGAGAGAGAAAGAGGCAGTGAAGAGAGACGCCGGGCTGTCCAGATGCATCAGTGTGATGCCCAGTTGCTCCCACTTAAGGTTTTGTAGTGGGCTCCATTGCAGTGGGCGGATCCCCCAGAGCAGCCCTGTGTCAGCACAGGACACAGATGGGCCAAGGAATTTTGTAAGTGTCCCAGACAGGTGCTGCTATTGTGTAGCCTGTTCACAATCAATGCTGTTTTATTTATTTTGTTCATTGCGTTACTATGTTTGCCAGTGAGATGCTGGTATCAAGGCCTGTTAGCCTTCCCACTTCCTCAGGTGATGAGAAATCTAGAGAGCTTTCTTTCCATGAAATCCCTCACCCAAGGCTCCCGTCCTGAGTAAACGAAGGTCACAACCACACCACACATTTGAAACGCATGGCTTCTGCCACCCAAGAGCTGTAGTTTACCTGGCACAGAGATACAGATTCCAGCACCCTTAACAAACTATGGTTCCCAGGATTCTTGGGGAGGAACCACATGTTTTAAATGTTTTTGTATGTGGGGTGCAGCCGTGAGCTAAGGCATCCTCATGTGGATCAATAACCAATTGAAACAGCAGGAAGCAGAATGGAAGTATGGACAGTTGTCACAGAGAATCTGTATTGTCTCACTTTGCCTTTTAACTTCCTCATAAATAGCCTAGAGTCCAGGGTGAGGTGCTGGATTTTCCAGATTGTCTCTCTAAAGGAGTAACTGGGAGGCCAAATGGCAAATGGGGTTTGATGCATGCAGGGGTAAAATGTTGCACAGGCAGGGGGTGGAGGGAGAATCCCAACTTTGCGTGCCTGTGTGTATATGATTGTGGTCTGAATGGACAATAACTGACCACTAAAGGGATCTTGGCTTTGTGGTGCGCAGCTCAGTGGGAATGCTGAACAGCTGCTGCGAAAAAGTCAGATTTCATGTTGGGGATCAATAAGAAAGGAGTAAAAAATAAAACTGCTGAGAAAAGGATGCAAGGGTGCCTGAATGCAAATCTGTGGTACAACTGCAGTTGGATTACTGCGTGTAGCTCTGGTTGCTGAACACAGTGGAGGATAAAGCTATCAGTGGCCACTGATTTATCTCCAGGATCAGAGGCAGGATTGTGAGGGAGAGGGTCACTGCCCCGAGGCTTCCAGGAAGAGCAGGTGCTGCATTAGGTAGGACTTTGGACCGACCCAGGAGGGTTCTTAATGAGCATGAAGTTCCCCAAGGACAGCAGGGCTGGTTTATTATCTTGTAAAGCAATTCTTTTGGATCACTTGTTTGGGCAGGGAATTGGGTGGGTACCTCAAAGAGGCTGGTCTCTTCTGGAAACAAATAAAAGACTTGTATAACAAGAAAACAATATAGTAAGGCAACAACCCACTCTGATGCAATGCAAAATAACCCAGTAGATGTTCAGTTTTGAGTTTTGTGACGACCACGTTAGTTAAGCTGGACTTGGGCATCTGCTTTGTATATTTTACCATTCACAGTTAGTTCATTCTCCAAAATATTAGATTTTGGATCTACTTCTCATACTCAGTACTAGGACACAGTAAGCAAGAATACAGTGGGTGGGTGTTTGTGTGTATGTATGAGGTTTTTTTAAAAGGAGCCCAAATAAGTTTTTAAAAATACAGCGGTACCTCGGGTTAAGTACTTAATTCATTCTGGATGTCCGTTCTTAACCTGAAGCTAACGCTAATGGGGCCTCCTGCCGCCGCCGCACAGCTGGAGCACGATTTCTGTTCTCATCCTGAAGCAAAGTTCTTAACTCGAGGTAATATTTCTGGGTTAGCGGAGTCTGTAACCTGAAGTGTATGTAACCTGAAGCGTATGTAACCCAAGGTACCACTGTAATTGTATTGTTATTTAATTGTCAGTATTTGCTTGTGCCACTCTTTATCCAGCTAACTATGCAATCTAATAGCCTGGGGAAGGTCTAACTCAGTCACAGAAGGGCGGCTATAGCTCTGTGCCACAGGCCATCATCAGATTTGCATGCAGAAAGTCCTGGCTTCAGTCGTCCGCATATCCTCTTTTTTTTTCTTTTTCTTTTCTTATTCTGGGATATTTATTGGTTTTACAAGAAAAAATTCCAAAAAATACAGAATTACAAAAATTCAACAAACAAAAAACAACAATAACCATGACAAAAAACAAACAGAAATGACAATATCCATAACAAGAAAAGAAAAAAAAAGAAAACAAAGAAAAAGAAACAGAAAAATTTAAAAGATATTTATACTTTCATTTAGCCTTCTTATCTTTACCTAGTTCTTTGACTTCCCCGCATCTCCCCGCTTGCACTTCCATTTAAAAACTCCTTTCAGCAAATCCTTACCCTCCTTTCATTATCTTAACTCAAAAAACTTAATCTATTTATATATAAATATTTTTACAACCTTATCCATCAAATATTCCATACTCTTAATCACAAAGCTTTTGCCAATACCAGTTATTTTCAATCAGACTTCAATTTAACATTCATTAATTTTATAGTATTTCTGTAGATAGACTTTAAATTTCTTCCAATCTTCTTCCACCGACTCTTCTCCCTGGTCACGGATTCTGCCAGTCATCTCCGCCAGTTCCATATATTCGATTACCTTCATCTGCCATTCTTCCAGAGTGGGTAAATCTTGTGTCTTCCAATACTTTGCGATGAGTATTCTTGCTGCTGCTGTTGCATACATAAATAAATTTCTGTCTTTCTTTAGCACCAATTGGCCAACAATGCCCAAGAGAAAGGCCTCTGGTTTATTTTGAACGGTATACTTAAATACCTTTCTAACTCATTATATATCCTTTCCCAGAAGGCCTTAATCTTTGGGCACGTCCACCAAATGTGAAAGAATGTACCTTCAGTTTCCTTACATTTCCAACATTTATTATCGGGCAAATGGTAGATTTTTGCAAGCTTGACTGGAGTCATGTACCACCTGTACACCATTTTCATAATATTCTCTTTTAAAGCATTACATGCTGTGAACTTCATACCTGTGGTCCATAACCGTTCCCAGTCAGCAAACATAATATTATGTCCAATATCCTGTGCCCATTTAATCATAGCAGATTTTACCGTTTCATCCTGAGTATTCCATTTTAGCAGCAAGTTATACATTCTTGAAAGTGTTTTAGTTTTGGAATCTAGCAGTTCTGTTTCCAACTTTGATTTTTCCACCTGGAAGCCAATTTTTCTATCCAAATTATAGACCTCTCTTATTTGGTAATAATGCAACCAGTCTCGCACTCTATCTTTTAATTTTTCAAAACTCTGCAGTTTGAATTTGTCTCCTTCTTGTTCCAAGATCTCCCAATATTTTGGCCATTTGGCCTCCATATTGGACTTTTTAGGGCCTTTGCCTCCATTGGTGATAGCCACCTTGGGGTTTTATTCTCCAATAAGTCTTTGTATCTTATCCAGACATTGAACAATGCTTTCCTGACAATATGGTTTTTAAACATTTTGTGAGCTTTAACCTTGTCATACCACAGATATGCATGCCACCCAAACACATTATTGAAACCTTCTAAGTCCAGTACATCAGTATTTTCCAGAAGTAGCCAATCCTTCAACCAGCAGAAAGCTGCTGATTCATAATAAAGTTTAAAGTCTGGCAGGGCAAATCCCCTCTTTCTTTAGCATCAGTCAATATTTTAAATTTTATCCTAGGCCTCTTGCCCTGCCAGACAAACTTAGAAATATCTCTCTGCCACTTCTTAAAACAGTCCATTTTGTCTATTATTTGTATCGATTGAAACAAAAACAACATTCTTGGCAATACATTCATCTTGATGACAGCAATTCGCCCTAACAAGGAAAGCTTCAAATTTGTCCATATTTCTAAATCCTTTTTAATGTCCGACCAACATTTTTCATAATTGTCTTTAAATAAATTCCCGTTTTTAGCTGTCATATGAATCCCCAGATATTTCACTTTTTTTACCACTGTTAAACCTGTCTCATTCTGAAACCTCTCTTTTCAATCGGTGTTAAATTCTTCTCAAGTACTTTAGTTTTAAGCTTATTCAACTTAAAACCTGCCACCTGACCAAACTCTTGAATCAGTTCTAATGCTCTTTTCGTACTAGATTCTGGCTCCTGTAATGTCCAGTCGTCCGCATATCCTGGTGTGGCTGGCCTGCCCTGAAACCGCAGGGAGCTGCTGCCACTGAGTGTAGACGGCATTGCTCTCGATGGGCCAATGGAAGCTTCTTGTGGACAACAGGGGCAGCCAGCCTGTGCCGCCACAGGCACTGCTGCACGACCACTTCCCTTATCCTTGACTTGTAGGATGGGGCTGAAGGAAGTGTAAACAATAGTGACCTAGGTGGATCAACGGTCTGCCTCAACAGAAGGCAGATTCCCATTTTCCTAATGTCCTCTGGTACCTCAGAGGAAGGTCAGCTATCGGCTGTTTGTCCTCCTTAAATTCAGACTAGGAAGCAGTTCTTTAAAAACAAACCTTCTGCTTTCAGTCTATTTAAGAGCATCTTACAGAGCTCCCAATTTCCATTCAGGCTCGGCCAAGTCCTACGCTGGAAGAAGAGCGTTGCTAAGGGAACTACAAGAGGCAGCTCTCTCTTTGTGGCTCAATAGGTTATTTCTCCTTCTTTCTAATACAGGATTGTATTCTATACAAGCATCAGGCTGACTCCCTTCTGGTGGGGCTGATCCTTGGAGCTGGCTGGCAGGGGCTTTGGGGGCAGGAAGCAGGTTGGAGCTGGCAGCCTTTGGGTTCTTAGAACCATTTGCTTCCTTGAGATGTGCTTGCCAAACTCAGTTTCCACCCCTGTAAACACATCTGTATCTCTGACATGTGGATCCAGTTAGATTGCTTTATCTTTTTGGGACATCCTTGTTGCTGTCTGGAGAAAAGGGCGCAGGCACCAGCATACAGAAAGTGGGCTCTGCACATCATTGGCCACGGGGAACAGCGGGTGTGGTGTCCAGGTTTCTTTTTTAAAAAAAAGGCTGGTCAACTTTTTGTGCCAAGCACTCAGATGTGCAAATTGCCGTAATACTTTTCTACCATAATACAGCAATAATGATTTTTAAAAAAACAGAGGGCAACAGTGCAGATTCAAATCCATTTACAAAGTGCAGAGGATATAGATCATAGAATTGTAGAGTTGGAGGGGACCACAAGGAACATCTAGTCCAACCCTCTGCAATGCAGGACTCTTTTGCCCAACATGGGGTGCAAACTCACAACCCTGAGTCTCCTTCTCCACTGACTGAGCCCTCTCAGTCTCTCTGCTGGAGTGCTAGTACTGAAGGGAGGTAAGAGAGACTATCTGGGAAGCAATTCCACCATGGAAAAGGACCTTGTGGGGCCCTGCAAAATGTCGCTTTGTGTAGAGCAGCCCCTTCTTTGTCCAAGGGCCTTGTTGCCTTCTGGGGTGTGGGACACATGCTGTGGGGGGTGAGGGCAGAGCAATAAATGTGGATTTTGCCTTTGCACAGGAGGCTGGTTTACACACACACACACACACACACACACACACACAAACCTACCTCTCTGTTCTCCATCCCTGCAAGCTGAGAGTCACTATCAGCTTTCAAGGACATGTTCCAGCCAGACAAGGAGGGTGCAGGGCACTGGTTGAAGGAAGCATTTGCTCATCCCGCTTTTGCCTGTGGTTTGTGGGTTCGCAAAACCTTTTCACAAACAAAAGAAATGTGTGTGTGTTCTGTGCCTATAGAAACCAGCCAGCTTCTCAATAAGGCTGTGGGAGAGAGATTCATTCATGCTAACCTAATCTGCCCTTCCTAAGCTAATAAGCAAACTGAAACACACGTATTCCTTTTGCTTGCAAACTCACCAGCCATTCCTTGATTTTCAGGTTCCAGGATGGACCGATGCCTCGCTTTGGTAGCTTAATGAAGTAATGCAAATGCAAACCTCTTGGGAGGTTTTTCTTTTCCTTAGGCAGGTGGCTACCTTTAAGCAAGGGTTTTAATTAATCTTTCTCCGGTCTTCTGCCTCAGGCTTGAGGTAGATAAATATGATTTTTAAAATGCAAACATTATCAAAAAGTACAGTGCTACCCTCACTCAGTAAACTCAGGTTTTTATGGACCTCCAAATAAAATGTTTGCAGAGTAGCATTATTAGTTTTCTTTTCTTTTCTATACCGCTTTATATTTTTAAGAAAAAGTCTCAAAGCCGTTTATAACACATTAAAACATCAAGTATAATGACCCAGAATAAAACATTACTGAAGAAAGTCAAAGATAAAGTATGTATTCAAAGCAGTGTAGTTAACAGGAAACTAAAGTCTTATCTTAAAGATTTCAAAACAAAACCTTATAAAGGTGGTCAACTACAGAATGTGCATTTAACGCAGCAAAATCTTAAACATTTCAAAGAAGGAAGTCGGATATAAAATGCACATTTAAAACAGCACAATTAGCAAGAGAATAAAATTTTACCTTAAACCAGTTCTTTTTTCTTCTTAAAAAAAATGTTTAGGGTTACTCTCATTTTCCTGCTCATATGGAAATACTGCCCCCAAATGAGGCCAAATTTAGATTCATAAAATGTTTAGAGGTCTGCATCCCCCCAGAAAAAAGCACTTGTCTTAAACAGAGAACATACCTGCTGCTGTTGCTGCCAGTGGTGGTTGGTGCTGGCTGTGAAAGCTCAGGCTTGAAGAACTGCATCTGTGCTAAGAGAAAACCAAGATGGTCTCTGGCCTCTTCAGCAGCCCCAGCTTTTGTAGCTGGAGTCAGTCAGGGCCGTTCCTCCCAGGCCAGGAGGGAAAAGGCCTGCAAGGCAGGGGTCAAGTCTTCCAGGACTCACAGCCAAGATGCTCTGTAGGAGGAGGCCTTCAGAAACCTTCAGTGACCTTGCTGGATGGCAGCACCTTTCTAAACCGTGTGCCCTCCAAGGTTTCGGGCTCAAATTTCCGTCCAGAGATTTTGGACCAGAACTCCCCTCAGTTTCAGCCAATTTGCCTAAAGCATCTGGAAAGGCAGCTTTAGAGGGCAATTTTAAAATAGGGAAAGTATGGGGATAAGGGGAAGGAGAAAATAAATTTTGCCTTTGGAGGAAGACTTGGATAATGGAGCACCCACAGCCACAACTTCTTTTGGGGTGGGCACAATGTTGTGAATATGGCAGCAGGAGAGTTAAACCAGAAGGGCAGCAGTCAAAGGCCTGGCTCTTGGCGTCGAATCAAGGCTACAAGAGGCTTGTTGTGGCTGCAGGGAAGTGAGTCAAGGAGGTGAAAGCACCGCCACCCGGATGAGCAGAGAGCCAAGACGACAAGCCCCGTTGCTCCCAGGCCAAGTAACCTACTTTCATCAACCAGCCAAAGGGAGGGACCAGAACGCAAACAGCCAGCCTGGGCTGAAAATGCTGGAACAGATGCGCCTGGCTTGGAATCGACCAGTAAATATGTTCTGCTGCTGCGGCAGCTGCTGTTGCACTTCCCGACTGAGCTCTCCAGCTGAGAGAGCCATCCGTTGTTGCTGCTTGCTGCCCGGCCATCCGTTGTTGTGTGTGCTTCATGAGTCTTGGGCAAAGTTCCTAGAAGAAGCCAGTCAGCTCCCGGGCCAGAGTTTGCCATTGCAACTCCCTTCCTCCAAGTAGAGGTCTGCAGTTTTATGATGGGTTAGGTCTTCCTTAGTTGCCTTCTCTCCTACCTCTGTTTTCTTTTAGGCTTCTTGATTACACTTGGAAGAGAAGGCCTTGAAAAGACTTCAGAATGAGGCTGGGACAAGGACTCTCCCCATTTCTCCTGCTGCTGGGAGGGTTTGCCACAATTCAGTGCCAGGTAAGAGCTCATCCTGCCAACCTGCCTGTTCACTTTGGCTTTTCTTTCCAGCCGCCTTAGCAGCGCATTAGAAGAGGGATAAGCAGACTTCCAGCTTGCGGTGCAGTTGGGTAATTTTAGACTCTGGACTTAAATCACCTTAGCAGGTTTGAGGGATGGGCAGCCTCTTGAGATGGTCATGTATTGCTTCACTTCCATTACAAGGCCAGCTCTGCTCTGTTGGGGGACCCCTGCTGCCCCTGCTGCTGATGTCTGTCCCAAAGTCCAACCCTGACAGCACGATGGGGCATGGCCTCTTGCTTCAATCCCTTACACACCCACCCCCCATAACGGCAAGAAGGAGCAAGAGAGAATGTTGTAAGTGTGTAGTGCTTAGTTTTAAGTCATGCGCTGCACACTGTTTGGAGGAGCAATCCTAACTGGTGCAGCAGCTGGCAGGCGGAGATGTGTTGGGGGAGAGGCAGACAATTGTTGCAGCAGCTTGAAGTAGTCCAACTGGACCCCATGCTATCATGCAATGTCATTGGGACTTGCTTGGGATCCAGTAGATCCTGGGCTGACTCAGCCCCTCCTTGCCTCTGGAACATCACCTGGCTGGACATTTGGAGGGGGGGCGCTCTGCACTGGTGGAGTGACACTTGGGTCACCCCTCAGGCAGGATGCCAGTTTAGCCTGCAGTGGCACCTCCACCCAATCAAATTCTCTCTGGTGGGGGGAGGACTAGGTTACTCAGCCAATTTATCTCTTCTTAAAAAACAGTGTTTAAGTGAGTTAAACAACAAAGGGACCACCTGAGAACCCGTAACTCATTTTGCTTCACTTGGGAATGGCAGGACATGGAGCTCTCCTGCTGCAAAGCATCTCTAGCTTGCTGGTTGGGACTGATTGGAGTTGCAGCCCAAAATATCTGGAGGGCTCCGGGTTGGGGAAGGCTGCTCCAGAGCTTAGGAAGTAGCTGTGAAATAGGATTTTCTCTGACAATGTCTTTCCTTAAAAAAGCCAACGTTTCCCCTCTGTGTCTTGGCAGGAATTTTCTTGGTATGAGGCCCTAGGAGCTCGGTCAAAGGGTAAGTAGCCAGGATTAGCACCCCAGTTCCAAAATGAATGAGTGGGGTGTGCTATTTTGAGCAGATAGACACAAACAAACTGGGTGGTCTCTTTTGATTTTGCTCTCCTGGTCCTAGGGGTCCCCACACAGAGCACCAAACTAAGCCCCGTTCTGTGCTCAGGATCTGTAACTGGAATTTTAATCAAGCATGGAAATCTGTGACCTAACTTGTTCAAAAACTTGTTCATAATTTGGGTTTTGTAAATGGAATGAAGTTGGGATTTGTTTGGCAAGGCCAAAAGTAGCATAAAAGTAGCTATTGTTAATGATAATATTGGGATTTATCCAGAGCTTAGTCCTACTCTGAGTAGACCTATGGAAGTTAATGGACATGGCTGAGCTGCTTTAATTTCAATGAGGCTACTTGGAGCCTGACCAGCATTGGATACAAGGAAACACCATTAATATTAATATTTCATACATTGCTTAATGCCAAGCAGTTTTATGAAGTTGAGGACAAATGAACTGTAGGACCAAAGCAGAACGGTCACGGGGGGCAGGACTAGCTGCACAAGTATTCCAAGTTGCTGACCCCGGATACCCACATGGCACGATCCGTTTGCTTGCAACAAGAGTGAGCACTGGGGACTTTAAAACTGCAGAGTGTACTGGAAGAAAGCAGGCTGCTTAAATCAGGCAGCACAACTGCCAATCCTGCATTGCTCCCCCTGGCCAAAATCACCAGCTATTGCCTCCTTGCCCCCCAAGGCTCCTGGGACTTCGGGAGGCTCTGCCCAACATGGTTTTTCAAACTTTTCTCTGCAGCCACGAGGACCAGGCAGAAGCTTGCTTTTGATTAATATGAGTATTACAGGGACTGTCTAGTTGTTATGGTCACTTGGCAGCCCTATGCAGATGCAAATAATGCACTGCCCTGGAGGAAAAATATTTTGGATTTACCACCCTCCCTTTGTCTGACAAGGTTTGAAAGTATTTCCAAGAACTTGGAAGAGAAGGTAGACATTTCCCTTTCTCCTTTACAGCACACATGGACCTTGGCAAGTGGCAGGCTCCAAAATGGCCCCACCACCCACAGACAACAGTGACTGCTGAGCAGTGGAGGCTGGTTCATGAGGGCATATGGGGCAGTGCCCTACCATCTAGACACTAGGAGAGGATATATTGTTTAGTTGTTATCCTTCCTTGTTCACATTTGTAAGATCAGAGTATCATCCTTTGCAGCTTTTAAACTTGGAAGCTAAGGCAAGGTTAATTTAACCTTCTACAACAATAATCCAGGATGTTTTAAGGCAGACTGGATATCCTGGTGTTACTCCTTTTCTCCCCCATAAAAACACCAATCATACAAACATTGTTTTGTGAAGAAATAAAAGTAGTATTTACTTACATAATCTAGATCTTGAAGCAGGAGTTAGAGTAGCAAAATGAAGGCAGGTTTAAAACTGCTAAGTTACCAAAATACAAAGTGCCATCTGAGCTGTTGACCTCAGATGGGCACGTGTGGTCAATTTGGAAGCAGGATAAAGAAAAAGGAGACTGTCCGGGCAGGAAGGAAGGATGTAGTGTAACATCTTCCTGCCAAGGCAGACAGAGGAAGTGATCTCACAGAGTTCTCTCTAGCAAATTTCACAGGAAAGCTCTATCAGTTCAGCCCCTTCATGTGCCTATCTAGCAAAGCATGAATTGTTGGTTTGACCATAATAATGTCCCACAACCCCCACCTGCCTGCCTTCTTACGTGTAACCCGTTGGTCTGCTTCATCCTCCTCCATCTCAGTGTTCCCCTTGTAGAGCTTTGCAGGGAGGAGGAAGATGGTGACAAACCTAGGATTTGCTGGCTCTGCCTGTCACTGGTGACCTGGCACCACCTACTGTTGGCCTCCTGGCTTATGTCCTCCCACTTCCAGCCACCATTGCTGCTGAGCAGGGAGCAAAGGGGAGTTTGGTGCCTGGAGGGTGGGAAGTGGTGGTGTGGGGGACTCTTCTCAGGAGCCCTTCCTCTCTCCTGATTGCAGTTGTATGCAAAGACCCAGTAACACAAGAGATCTACCAGTTCAGGGACAGCTGGCTACGGCAAAGAGAAAAAGAACTTGAATATTGTCGGTGTGCGACCAACAGCATCATTTGTCATATCGTGCCAGGCACAGGTGGGTATTAGATGGGTAGATATGGGAGACAGTTTGGGTGCAGGATGCGACAATGAAGCGGGTGACCCAAACTTTTGCAGCTTCTTTCGTAGGACCCTGGGACCCGATGGCGGGAGCTTGACAGTCTTGCCTTGGTCCTAGGAACACCTCTCCTGTGATGTTGCTCACTGTCCTCCCCCTCCTGCAGCAACTTGCAAGGCTTCCAAAGGCAGTGAGTGGGGTAGTTGAAAACGCCCGACCCACGATGTGGCTCCCTAGAACCCCTTTTAACTGCAGAGGCCAGCAAGTAGTGCACTTGAGACCTTCTGCAAGCCAAGTGTCTGCTCTGCCTTTGAGTTGCTCCTCCACCCCAAGAGGTTATGGGCCCAGGAACTGAAAGCACTCGACTGCTGGCGGGGGAAACCTGAGGTTCTCTTTCTTCTTTGTCTGACAGCCTGCAGCAGGAGGCAACAGTGCTTCAATGAGGGCCGCTGCAAGCAAGCATTATACTCTTCTAATTTCTTCATCTGCTTATGCCGCCCAGGCTACTCTGGGAAGCGCTGTGAGATTGGTGAGTAATTGGTATGCAATGTGGTTGGATGGCTGATTGATTGATTAATTGATTGATTGCATTTATAGTTCACCTTCTTCTCCAAGGAGTTCAAGGTATTATAGGGGGCCTCCCCCTCCTCATTTAATCCACACAACAACCCTGTGAAGCTGAGGGGCAGTGACTGGCTCTGCGTCGAACAGGATTTGAACCCCAATCTCCGAGGCCTGACACTCTAACCACTGCACCACATTTATTGTGGGCTGCAATATAAGGAGCCCTGACTTGGGTTGAAAGCCACTGTGTAGACGCTTGGCCTTTATTTGGCTTTCATCTGGGTAATCCTTACAACAGTTCTAGGTGGCAGGCAGGCATTATTCTCCCCTGCCTTGCTTGTCTATTATTGGATGCATTTGATATGGTACCTCGGGTTACATACGCTTCCGGTTACAGACTCCGCTAACCCAGAAATATTACCTCGGGTTAAGAACTTTGCTTCAGGATGAGAACAGAAATCGTGCAGCAGCAGCACAGCAGCAGCGGGAGGCCCCGTTAGCTAAAGTGGTGCTTCAGGTTAAGAACAGTTTCAGGTTAAGAACGGACCTCCGGAACGAATTAAGTACTTAATCCAAGTTACCACTGTACCGTATTGGCCCAAAAATAAGCCATACTTTCCCCCCCAAATTCTGATTGTGAAAAGTTAAAGTGTGGCTTATATTTGTGACCTTACAGTATCACTGCTGATACAGCTGCCCACGAAGGCCGTCAGGGGTGTGGGACAACAGCTCCCGTCCCAACCGCGTCTCTCAAGCCTCCCCTAAGCCACTGTAAGGAAGGGGGAAGGGGGGCAGGCCTCCGGCAAAACGGTGTGGCTCCCCCCACAAGGAAGCAGCCCAGGAGTGTGGGGCAGTGGCGCACAGGCCACCTACCACTGCCAAGCCTCCTCTGGTGTCGGCTTGGGGAGGTAGTGCCAGGAGGCGGTAGAGTTGGGAGGCGGGCGCGCAGCACCCTCAGAACTGAGCACCGGCACCGGCTTGGGGAGCGGGGTAGCAAGCACTGGTGCCAACCGCCCCCCGTTGAGGGCAGTAGTGCCAGGAGGTGGGCTGCACCTGCAAATAAGCCTTGAATTTTAAAGGTGCGGCTTATTTGCGGGTGCGGCTTATATTTGGGCCAATACGGTAATCCATTGGCACAGTCAAATACAACATTCCTTGTTTGCCTAGAGTGGACACAGACAGGGGGATGTTGATCCAGCCAGTTGAACTTCCTGTTACACCTGGTCTGGAACATCCTCCCCCTGCATGTGACCAGGTAGGTGGGCGTGGCCCTTGCAGACCCCACAAAAGGTCCAGTCACGCAGCCGCCCTCCTCTCTTGATGCTGCTTCTTCCTCTTGATGCCATGCTCTCCTGATCCTGATGCATTTTGCTGTCTGCTGACTCTCAGCCACCGGGACAGGGGCTCATTCCCATATGGGATGAACTCAAACTCTCTTCCGTAACTCTAAGCTGAAGCCTGCCTTCAGGATCCAGCTGTGAACTGAATGTGAGTAAACTTCGTATTACTTTTAAAAGAAGCTTCTTGTGTATTTATTCTTTTTAGGAGGGATAAAAGGGGTCTTACAAGGAACAAAATCCAACCTGAACAAAGCCAGATTGGATTACTTAAGTATAGAGATTCAACCGAATCCACCAACTAGCTTCCTGCTATATATTGGGGAATGAACTTTGCTGTATGACTCACAAGCGTGAGTTAGGAAGGATAATATTTAATCAATATATCCTCTCCTAGTATCCACAACATTCCCACATTTGATTTATTACCTTCCCTCAGCGTAAGATCCAAGGGTGGGTCACAACAATTTAAAATACAACATACAGGAAATTGAAGCAATTAAATGCACAAATTGTCATCTCATCTGTCCTCCCAGTTGAACGCCGTGGCCCAGGGAGAGAGGGAAAAATAGTGGAAGTGAACAGCTGGCTTCGCAAATGGTGTAAACAGGAACGGTTTGGATTCTTAGATCACGGACTGCAGTTTCTTGAAGATGGACTTCTGGCAAGCGATGGGCTGCACCTCACAACGGTTGGGAGGAATGTTTTTGCTAAAAATCTCAGAAACCTCATCAGGAGGGCTTTAAACTGACTAATGTGGGGGAGGGAGACAGTGCTCCTGAAGGTAGGAGTCTATCAATTGATGAAGATGATCATCCAAATGTCATAGACCAAATGGAACAAACAGCACGCAGACCTAGTGGTGGGAGGAAAAATCCTTAAATAAGAGACATGGGGAATGATTAATGGACTTCAGTGTCTGTACACTAATGCGCAAAGCATGGGAAATAAACAAGATGAGCTTGAGCTCTTGGTACAGCAAACTAAATATGACATAATAGGCATCACTGAAACCTGGTGGGATAAGTCCCACGATTGGAATGTAATAATGGGAGGATACAATCTATTTCAGAGAAACAGACCAGACAAGAAAGGAGGAGGAGTGGCGTTATATGTCAGGGATGTGTATACCTGTGAAGAGATCCAAGATTTAGAACCTCAAAGCCAAAGTGAGAGCATTTGGGTCAAAATTAAGGGAGAGAAGAATAACAGTGACCTCATTGTGGGAGTTTACTATAGATCCCCAAGCCAAACGGAGGACATAGATGATGCCTTCCTGGAACAGATGGCCAAGCATGCAAAAGGAAGGGAGATAGTAGTAATGGGGACTTCAATTACCCGGATATTTGTTGGATGTCAAACTCAGCCAAGAGCATAAAGTCAAACAGATTCCTCACTGGCCTTGCAGACAACTTCATTGTCCAGAAAGTGGGAGAAGCAACAAGAGGAACAGCCATTTTAGATCTGGTCCTAACCAATGTTGATGACCTGGTTAGTGGGGTAGAAGTGGAAGGATCATTAGGCGCGAGTGATCATGCTCTTCTGAAGTTTACTATACAGCGGAAAGGAGCAGCCAAGCATACTAGGACTCAATTTCTTGACTTTAAGAAAGCCGACTTCATAAAACTTAGGGAAGTGCTGGGTGAGATCCCATGGACAGTAATACTAAAAGGAAAGGGAGTTCATGATGGCTGGGAGTTTGTTAAGAGGGAGATAGTAAAAGCACAACGTCAGGCAATACCAGTGAGACGGAAACATGGAAGGTGCCTAAAGAAGCCAGGGTGGCTATCTAAAGAACTTTTAACTGAGTTAAGATTAAAAAAAGGATGTGTACAAAAAAATGGAAAAGGGGGGAAACCACCAAAGAAGAATTCAAACAAATAGCCAGCACGTGTAGGCACAAAGTCAGAAAAGCTAAAGCACAGAATGAACTCAGGCTTGCTAGAGAGGTTAAAAGCAACAAAAAAGGCTTTTATGGGTATGTCCGTAGCAAAAGGAAGAACAAAGAAACAGTGGGGTCACTCAGAGGAGAAGATGGTGAAATGCAAACAGGGGACACAGAAAGGGCTGAACTCCTCAATGCCTTCTTTGCCTCAGTCTTCTCCGATAAAGAAAACAATGCCCGACCTGAAGAATTTGGAGCAAATGATTCAGCAAAGGAAACACAGCCCAGAATAACTAAGGAGATAGTACAAGAATACTTGGCTAGTTTAGATGTATTCAAGTCTCCAGGGCCAGATGAACTGCATCCAAGAGTATTAAAAGAACTGGCAGATGTGATCTCAGAACCACTGGCAGTCATCTTTGAGAATTCCTGGAGAACAGGCGAAGTCCCGGCAGACTGGAGGAGGGCAAATGTTGTCCCTATTTTCAAAAAGGGGAAAAGAGAGGACCCAAATAATTACCGCCCAGTCAGTCTGACATCAATACCAGGGAAGATTCTGGAGCAGATCATTAAGCAAACAGTCTGTGAGCACCTAGAAAGGAATGCTGTGATCACCAATAGTCAGCATGGATTTCTGAAAAATAAGTCATGTCAGACTAACCTGATCTCGTTTTTTGACAGAATTACAAGCCTGGTAGATGAAGGGAACGCAGTGGATGTAGCCTACCTTGATTTCAGCAAGGCATTTGACAAGGTGCCCCATGATATTCTTGTAAAGAAGCTGGTAAAATGCAGTCTTGACTATGCTACCACTCAGTGGATTTGTAACTGGCTGACTGACCGAACCCAAAGTAATAGTGCCACTGTATTCTGCTCTGGTCAGACCTCACCTGGAGTACTGTGTCCAGTTCTGGGCACCACAGTTCAAGAAGGACACTGACAAACTGGAACGTGTCCAGAGGAGGGCAACCAAAATGGTCAAAGGCCTGGAAACGATGCCTTATGAGGAACGGCTAAGGGAGCTGGGCATGTTTAGCCTGGAGAAGAGGAGGTTAAGGGGTGATATGATAGCCATGTTCAAATATAGAAAAGGATGTCACATAGAGGAGGGAGAAAGGTTGTTTTCTGCTGCTCCAGAAAAGCGGACACGGCGCAATGGATCCAAACTACAAGAAAGAAGATTCCACCTAAACATTAGGAAGAACTTCCTGACAGTAAGAGCTGTTCGACAGTGGAATTTGCTGCCAAGGAGTGTGGTGGAGTCTCCTTCTTTGGAGGTCTTTAAGCAGAGGCTTGACAACCATATGTCAGGAGTGCTCTGATGGTGTTTCCTGCTTGGCAGGGGGTTGGACTCGATGGCCCTTGTGGTCTCTTCCAACTCTATGATTCTATGATTCTATACAAAAAGCAGTTTAAAAGAAATAAAACCAATGGCTGCAGTTGCTTACACAGAAAAATTCTGGTCTGCTTAAGACCACATCTGCGTTTGACACAAATGAAGCCATAATATGAACTGGAAACTTCTTTGCCTGCACCTTTTTGGGGTAAATAGTTGTGGGTCCCCAATTTGGAGAACACTCCTGAACCAGATCAGAACCCTGCTTTGGTTCCCCACTGAAAATGGCCCCCTGCCTGTCTGCTGCTGTTATGATTAATTAGTACAAGACTGCATATGCGGCCTTTCATTTCAAGAAGAAATACTTTAATTTGGTATACCTGCAGCAGTTTTTTCTCCAAAATAAAAGCGAGCAAGTTTAAGCAGCCTTGTTCCAAGATGTGACTGTGGTGGGATGATCAGAGTGCCAGCTCCTACTCTGGGAGAGGAGGGTTCAATTCCCCACTCAGCCAGGAAGCACCTTGGGTGCCCTGGGGCCGCTCGGCATTTGTAGCCTGCCTCACAGGGTTGTTGTGAGGAAGAAACGGGGAGGAGGAGAACCATGTACACCACCTTGTGTGTGTGTGTGTGTGTGTGTGTGTGTGTTTATTACATTTATATACCACCTTTACTCCCAAGCTGCTCCTTGGAAGAAAAGGGTGGTATAGAAATGTAATAAATAAATAAATTATAATAAAAATAAATTGTATGTAGCTTGGCTGCCAGGCCTGCTGGCTTTGCTAGCTGTGCCTGTGAGGGAGAGGCAGCATGGAAGCAGCACCTGGCATAAAGTGTCATGAGCTTCCTGCTTCTTCCAGGTCAAGATGGCTGGAATAGTGGGGAAGGAGGAGGACTGCATCACAGAGCAGGGAAGATATCAGCGGAGATAGCCTTGTGGTTCTTCCATCCTCCACCTCATCTGGCAGGGGGCAAAAATGGGCACAGGAGTGAATGTGAATTTTGCTTTGGTTCATGAGGCTGGTTTCTACACACAAACTGTGGCATTCCTCTCTATCCTCCAGCCAGACAAGCAAGAACCATTATCAGAGTTCAAGACCACATTCCAGCAAGTCAAAAACATTTGAGGAGAGGCTGCAAAGTAGGGCTAGTGAGAGGGGTGGAGATGCTGAGGGCCTGGGGGCCTGGAGAGAGTCCCAGGAGCTAAACAGAATAGACCTGGGGGGGGGGTCACATGTGGCCCACAGGCCTCTGCCGTCTAGCCCCCAGTGACCACGGCTGCAATCTCCCATCTTGATCCTGAGCAGCCCCATGGATGCAAGATGTGTGCAGAGTACCTTTGGAGAACAGGAGGGAGACTGAATACTCTGCCCCTCCTTTTTCAGATACCAAAGCCAAGTGTTACGAGGGCGCTGGAGAGGGCTACATGGGGACATGGAACACAACTGTGAGTGGAGCCAAGTGCTTGAACTGGAAGCTCGATTCCTTGAGGAATAAGCGGTACAATGCGTACCGGGCAGATGCCGCTAGGTTGGGCCTTGGAAACCACAACTATTGCAGGTGAGAAAGTGAGTTTAGGAGGGGCCTCTTCCTCTGACCACCCATCTTCTTGCCCCCCAATACTGGGGGGCATTATTGCAGTCAAACCAATAATTCATGTTTTACCAGATAGGTACATGAAGGGGCGGAGGCTCATAGAGCTTTCTTGTCAAATTTGCTAGAGAGAACTCTGTGAGATCACTTCCTTTGTCTGCTTTGGCAGGAAGCTGTAGCACTACATCCTTCCAGCCTGGGCAGCCTCCTCTTTCTTCGTCATGCTTCCAAGCTGACCACATGTCCATGTTTGAGGTCTGCTGCTCAGACACAATTTTGAACTTACCTTTTGTACTTTGGTAACTTAGATAGTACAGTCGTACTTTGGTTTTGGAACAGCTTAGTTCCTGAACATTTTGGCTCCTGAATGCTGCAAACCCAGAAGTGACTGTTCCAGTTTGCAAACTATTTTTGGAAGCTGAACGTCCAATAGGGCTTCTGCGGCTTCCGATTAGCTACAGGAGCTTCCTGCAGCCAACCAGTACTCACGCTTTAGTTTCCGAATGTTTTGGAAGTCAAATGGACTTCCAGAATGGATTCCTTTCGACTTCCAAGGTACGACTGTAGTTATAAACATGCTCTTATTTGGTGCTGCAATTGCTACTTCAACCTAGATTATGTAAGTAAATACTACTTTTACTTCTTTACAAAACAATGTGCAATTGTTGTTTTTAAGGGGGAGACAATGAGTAATACCAGGAAAATCCAGTCTGCCTTTAGAGCATCCTGGATTATTGTTTGTAGAAGCTTAAATCAAACTTTTCTTAGCTTCAAAGTTTAAGCTGCAAAGGATGGTACTCTGTTGATCTCACAAATGTGAGCAAGGAAGGATAATAACCAAACCATGTATCCTCTCCTAGTGTTTTACCAGATTGTGGGAAATACATTCCCACAAATACATCCTTGTAGGCAAAATCTACTCTGAGCGGGAGAAGTATTGACATTGTCAAATAAGGATGTTGCAGAGCTGGAAAAGGTTTAGAAAAGGGCAACCAAAATGTTTGAGAGCATCTCCACTGTGAGGAAAGGTTACAACATTTTAGTTTAGTGTAAGTGAGACTTGGGGAAGACACACAAGGTGGAGGTGTATAATATCATTTCATCATAATTTCATGAAACTGTGTGCGCTTTGTGGAGAAAGGGAATAAATAGGAAGCCATCTAGGCCATATAGTGAAGCTGAAGATTGGAAGATTCAGGGCTGACAACAGGAAGGACGTCTTCCCTCAGGGCTTAGAATTAAACTATGGAGCTCCTTCCCCTAAGGCGTAGTGTCAACCACCAACTTGGGTTGAGAAGACCAATTCCCACGAGCCTAAGAGAAGCCTGTGGGGGCTGGTGGAGGCAGAGCAGAGTCAAAATGGCCAGCAGCCATCAAGAGCCTCCTCCTCCTCCTCCTCCTCCTCCTCCTCCTCCTCCTCCTCCATGAATTGGTCCAATCCTCTTTTAAAGACATTCCGGTTGGTGGTTACCACTGCCCCTGTGGGAGTGAGTTCCAGAGCTGAATTCTGCACTTCATGAAGAAATACTTTTTTAAAATCTATCCTGAATCTTCCAACATTCAACTTCATTGGGTGTGTTATGAGAGAGGGAAGAAAATGTCTCCAACCACTTTCTTCATGCCTTGCATAATTTCATAAAATTTCATCGTGTCACCTCACACTTGCCTTTTCTCTAAATTAAAAAGTCCCTAATGCAACAGCCTTTCTTCATAGGAGAGTCACTCCATCCCTTAATTATTTTGGTGGCCCTTTTCTAATAGTGTCACTAATAGTGCCAGTGTAATAGTGCCACTGTATTCTGCTCTGGTCAGACCTCACCTGGAGTACTGTGTCCAGTTCTGGGCACCACAGTTCAAGAAGGACACTGACAAACTGGAACGTGTCCAGAGGAGGGCAACCAAAATGGTCAAAGGCCTGGAAACGATGCCTTATGAGGAACGGCTAAGGGAGCTGGGCATGTTTAGCCTGGAGAAGAGGAGGTTAAGGGGTGATATGATAGCCATGTTCAAATATAGAAAAGGATGTCACATAGAGGAGGGAGAAAGGTTGTTTTCTGCTGCTCCAGAGAAGCGGACACGGAGCAATGGATCCAAACTACAAGAAAGAAGATTCCACCTAAACATTAGGAAGAACTTCCTGACAGTAAGAGCTGTTCGACAGTGGAATTTGTTGCCAAGGAGTGTGGTGGAGTCTCCTTCTTTGGAGGTCTTTAAGCAGAGGCTTGACAACCATATGTCAGGAGTGCTCAGATGGTGTTTCCTGCTTGGCAGGGGGTTGGACTCGATGGCCCTTGTGGTCTCTTCCAACTCTATGATTCTATGATTCTTGACCTTTTCCTGGGGGATAAGGCTGTCAGTGGCTACTGGCCTTGACGGAGGTGATGCTTCCCTTGGGGGGGGGGGAGGCAGTCGGCTTCTGAATAGCAAGTGGGGGCGGGACAGGGCAAGTGCTGTTGCACCCAGGAAAGGCTGCTTCCGAGCCTTTCACTGACTTCTAGTTGGCTGCTGTGAGAACCGAGAGTCTGTCTAGATGTTTCTTTGTGTGATCTAGCAAGACTCTTCCTACATCCTTAAAATTATCAGTGCATTGTTTTGAGTATAAATGTTGGCCTTCCCTCCCATTTCCCCCCTTATTTTTGAGGTTGCAGCTGAGCCTGCAGCTGTTCCCAGTGGTGCAGTGGGCCAGTGCATCTGACTATCAACCAGAAGGTTGGTGGTTGGACTAGATGACCCCTGGAGTCCCTTCCAGCTCTACAATTCTACACTTCTGTGATAAATGTCTTAATTGTACAAAATGCCCAGTGTTTGCCTTTCCTTTCCTCTAGAAACCCCGATTCCGACACCATGCCCTGGTGCTTTGTCTACAAAGGAAACAAGTACAGCTTTGAGTTCTGCAGCCTCCCTCCCTGCGCCAACAGTAGGTTCAAGGCTCCTCTGCAGTGGGGCAGAGCCAGGTGGGGTGGTGAACATGTTGTGCTATGAGCGTTGGAGCCGAAGGGAAGAAGGCTGTTAGCAGTTTCTCTCCACATCACGGCCCTGATCCAAATTAACTTGTGTGAATTCCACACCCACACACTTGTATTTTGGTCTGCTCCTTTTCAAAAGAAATATGCACCAGACTCCGAGAATCTTGCGTGGAATCTTGAGCTCTAGTTCCACCACAATCATTCCCTATTTGTGCAGCATGTTTAGTTTTGCAGAAACAAAGAATTGGCTTCATATATGGTTATTGCCATGCTTGCAGGAAAATGGAGTAGAAAACTTGTGGTAGTTGGCCTCAATGACCAAACTCGCTCATTACGGTAAAAAAAGAGAAGATGAGAAGATACAATATATACTAAAAGAGACTTGATTATGAATTAAATAAAAATGGGAGGGTGCTGGCTTCAAATAATCATTTTGCAATGTTCTGATGGCTTTCAACTTAAACATTTTCTTAATGTTGCATTTTGGATATTGATACCTTCATGTTTGCAGCAAAAATGTATTAGCTTGTTTATTACAAATTATTTAATAGGGCTCGTATTCATAAGGTATGTGTAAGCTTTGTTCTAAGACATGTACAGTAACTTTCGGCTTTTTCTGTGTTGGTTTTCTAGTTAAATAAAAATCATTTAAAACTTTTCTAGTTAAATAAAATATGTAAAATTTAATTTAACCAGCCCCATCCCTTGTAACATCTATGGGGCTTTACAGATGAAAAGTGGATCCCTGCCCCAAGGATCATACATTTAAGGCACATCCCCCACCCCCTCAACTTGGAAACTGGGGGTCATCAGGGGTGCTGGGAATTGTAGCTCTGTGAGAGGTAAACTATAGCTCCTATGATTCTTGGGGGGGGGGGTGTGCTTTTAATGTAGGCTTCACAATTGAAAATCTGCAGTGAGAAAAAACCTCAAACTATATGCCCCATGAATGTGGTTTGGGACTGATGCAAATCTGCCTTTTTTGTCACAGAAAGCCACACTTGCATTTCTGGAAGGGGCAACAATTATCGAGGTCCCCACAACCGCACGGAATCGGGCGCTGCTTGCTTGAGGTGGGATTCCCGGTTCCTTACTGGGCTGGTCTTCAATTCCCATAGGGAGGATGCAGAGCAGCTCGGTCTCACTAGCCACAACTTCTGCAGGTAAGCAGACCCTCACCTTTTCTCCTTGCAGTTTTTTGTCCAAAAAGAAAAACTAAATGCAAAACATGGCTTATTGATAAGATAAGGCTCTGCCTTATCTAGTGTAAGAACAATAACCCGCTGATTTGCTCTGCCCTGTGTGCTGCTTTTATTGAATTCATAGAAATCATTCTGCAATTAGATGAGGCTGTGTTTTTTGAGTCATCCAATCCATTTGTGCCATTTCATTCATGTTTGCTACAAATGCCTATGTGGTTGTTGATAAAATATTGGTGAAAACCCAAATTTGGATGTGGTCATGTGTAGGATTGCATTCAGGGTCTTGGTGTGTGTTCCACTGGTGTACGCATATATGATCTTGCACACTGGTAAAAAAAACACCACACACAATGAATCTCGATGCAGTTATCTAGAAACTCAGGAAGTGGACTTGTACATTCCCTGCACCCACCACAATACGACACTGACTGGCATTGGCTCCCCTGGAGATGGAACGTGGGTCCCTTGGCATGCAGAGTAGATGCCCTTCCATCCCACCATTGGGCAGGCTGGTGGGAAACATCTGAAGGGCATGTTTAGCAGCCACTTTCCAACTTTCACTGAGAATTCCCTTCTGTCTGAGATCCTTTTAACTGAACATTTCAGGGATTGAACATGGGACCTTCTGCATCTGTGGTCCATCCCTGAATGTACCTTGGCTTGTCCCAAGGCGACCTTGATGCATTGTGGCAATGCATTGGTAGTGTGTTACCAGGGCACATCTGTGCACCGGGAACGCATTGCAGGGAAGGGAAGAAGTGCAAAAGAATGAAAAGCTGTTGCAAAACATGCCTACATAGTGCTCTGTCCAACTTGAAAACAGTAAAAACAAGGGAGAGTTTCAATAGCATTGCTTTCCAGTGCAGAAACTATTCAGATCTTTTAGAATAAAATTGGGATGAGGACAATTTCTCAAGCGCCCCCTTCCCAAGGACTCTGAGTGAGGCTTTGAATCACAGCTGAGGTCAAAGGCCACTTCACACAGTGTCTGTGAAAGCCGACCAGGAGGAGGAGATGATGCTGGATTTAATGGCTTTTGACTATCCCCAAGTGTTTCCAGGCCTGCCTGTGACTTTATAGTATAGGATGGATTGATTGATTGATTGAAGGATGGATGGACACAGGAAGTCACGGCTGATGCAGAGCTTTCTGTGGCATGGACCAGTTTCAAATTCATGTTGTGTTAAGCTGGGTGGGGAACCTTTGGCCCTCCAGCTGTTGCTGAACTCCAACTCCCATGCACCCACAAAAACGGCCAAGGATGTTGGGAACTATCATTCAGCAACATCTGGAGGGCCGCTTGAAACAGTCATGGCTTTACCCCAAATAATCTTGGGAAATACGGTTTGTTAAGGGTGCTCAGAGTGGTTAGGAGACTCATATTCGCCTCCCAGAGCTACAATTCCCATCCCTCTTCACAGGGAACTCTGGGAATTCTAGCTCTCGGATCAGGAAGAGGAGTCTCCTACTAACCGTCAGGCCACTTAACAAACTGCAGCTCCCAGAATTCTTTGCAGGAAGCCCTCTAAAGTGGTATCATAGTGTTTTAAATGTATGGTGAGAATGTGGCGCCTTCGTTAGAGCCTTGACCAATCTGCATTGAATGGGGCTGATGGCCAAAACGTCAGGAGTGTTGGGAAAAAGCTGTTCTAAGTACATGCAAAAAACAAAGAAGGTTATAAAGCAGCCCTCCGTAAACTCCAGAACATCATCCTCAGGGGACATACAAACCTGGGTAGCCCACACTGCTGCTCTTTGCAGGGGCAGAGAGAAGAGGAGCATTTGATCTCTGAAGTAATCCTGTTCCACTTTTGTGTTGCAGGAATCCTGATAATAGCACCCAGCCTTGGTGCCACGTGCTCAGGGGTGGCAAGAGGAAATGGGAATACTGCAGTGTGCCAGCTTGCTGTAAGTGCCCGCCCTATCCGTGGGGCAAAATGCCAGCAAACTGCATTTCAGTTGCTGGCTCCGGTGGTGTTTTGATGTACCTTTACTATTGTTTTCATTTTTGTATTTTATAATAATGTTTCTAAATGTTGTGAGCCACCTTGGCTCTAGCTTTGGGAGGAAAGGTGGGATAAATACTACTGCTGTCTGTTGTCTTATGAGCACCAAAGAGCTTCCTCTTCCAACTTTTAAGCAGAGATCTTTCTGTGTCTGCATCTGTAGTGGAATTGTTTTGAAGATGCTTTTATCATTAAACTGTTTGCCACCCTGGTTCCTTTGAGAGGACGGATGGGATAGCAACGTGCTAAATAAATGAAGAGGTCGGCCCTGTGAGAGCATTTTGCCCCAAGCGGAGAGTTAACGTTGTATCTGAGTCTGGGGTACATTTTCCTTATTTTCCTCGCCACCTACAGCCACGTGTGGAACGAGAAAGTACCGGCAGTCTCAGTTTCGGATCAAAGGAGGCCTCTACTCGTACATCCAGTCGCACCCGTGGCAGGCGGCCATCTTTGTCAGGATACAAGGAGTGGAGGCCTACCTCTGTGGTGGGGTCCTGATCCATTCCTGTTGGGTCCTCTCAGCTGCCCACTGCTTTGTGGAAAGGTAAGAGTCCAGCGCCCGATTTGCCGTCTCTTCTGCACTTGCTGCCCCCTCAGGAAGTCTCTTGAAGTCAGAGGCAATTTGTGGTTCTGGAGATGAAGGGCCAAGTGGGAGGCAGCAACATGTGTGCATTTATCAGTTGTGCCATTCGTGCAGGTTTTTCTTGGAGTAAATAGCAGGTGGGATTCTACTGTAGGGAGGGTTTGCTGCTGCAGTCCAGATCTCCCCCACTCCTGTTCCTGCTATTTGTATTGGGAGGCAAGTCCCAATTCTCCATCTACCTCAATACCCTCCCCCCCGGACAGGAAACATCCCTTCAAGGTCTGGGGCAGGGTTTTTTGTTTTTTTGCCCAAGACACAAAATGTTTGCTTTGTTGTTATATGAAAGTAATCCATCCAGTAACTTTGCAAGGCAGCCAGTTTTCTCCCCCTGTAAGGGATGTTGCACATGGTTGAGCTGAAGCTTGAGCAAAGGCCTTCCAGTTCCTCTTCTGGACAACCACGGTGGTCAGTTAGCTGCAAAGCCATGGCTACAACTGGACCTTGAAGGCCTTGAACGCTTGAGCAAGGAAGTTGAAGTCTGTATTTTTAGGAGCATAAATTACACCTGAACTTGGCAGTCACCAAAGCTGTCCCCCCCCCCCCCCGCCCCCTGATTCTGTAGGTTTGACACCAGTCGTCTCAAGGTTGTGTTGGGCAGGACTTCCCGCAGAAACCCGGAATGGTCTGAACAGACATTCTCAGTGGAGAAATACATTGTACATAAAAGCTTTGTGCAAAGCACCTTTGACAACGATATTGGTAAGACCTTTCCCTCCCTACACACAGACCTAGATCTGCACCTGCTCCAGCCTCTTGCCTTGACCCACCCTGCCTTTTTCTTTGCTTTTTCTCTTTTTGCTAGCTCTTCTGAAGCTGAAGTCCTTGTACAATGAGTGTGCAATGGAAACAGATTCCGTTCGTCCTGTCTGCCTCCCAGAGCCTGGGCTGAAGCTGCCTGACTGGACAGAATGTGAGATCTCAGGCTATGGCAAGCATGAAGAATGTAAGAACTTCTGGCTTGCTCCAAACGGTGGCCTCTGAGAGTTGTGCTCCTAAGCCCCATCCCAGTAGCTAGCTAGGGAGACACCAACCCCGTCCATTTCTCTTTCTCATCTTTCCAGTTTGTTACACTTCTGCATCAGTTTGAGAATTTTTGTACATGTCCATTTTCTAAGCAGTTTCCCCTAAAATAATGAAAGTCATCTTATTTTAACTAATACAGGCATTCCTGTGCATGATTTTTCTAATGTTTGTTTATTAAGGTGTATGCATCTTTTGTATGGAAAAGTGCTTTGCAAAATTTGGAGAAGGGTGAATCTCAAAAGATAACTGTATTGTGGTTTGGGAAATGCAAATATGTAAGTTAGTTTTTCAGATCAAACCAAGCAAATTTCTCCCTCTCCTATTCTGCATCCAAACCCCTTCTGCATTTTGAGCAATGTTGAGCAGTGTTGGAGAACTTGCCAGTGGATTCTGGGTCTCTCTCACTGCCTTTGACAGCCTCCCCCCCAAAAAAACAACAACTCTGCAACCTTTTCTTTCCTTGCAGTAGTCCTAGGCCAGTGATGGCGAACCTTTTAGAGACCGAGTGCCCAAACTGCAACCCAAAACCCACTTATTTTTCGCAAAGTGCCAACACGGCAATTTAACCTGAATACTGAGGTTTTAGTTTAGAAAAAAACAACTTGTACATTAACATATTTTGTCTTAAAAGAAAAACACAATAACAGAGCTTTCAATGATACAAACAACTTTTTATTGAAAGGTAAAAGTTTGCATTATCCTTGTTTGGGAAATCATGAAAAGGGGAATTACTCCCAGACAACATGGCCGTTTTGATAGTTTCCCTTCCAGAAACTTCTTTGGGAGATTTCAGAGCAGAAGCTGCATGGCCTTCTGTCATGGATGCTGTAGGGGGGTTGGATTCGATCACCCTCGGGTTCCCTTCCAACTCCCCACAATCCTATGAGAAAACCAAAACAGTCTCTTTTGCCCTCCACTGTGTGTCCCCTAGCAGGGAGGATCTTGCACTTACCCATGGCGATGGGAGAGAGTTCAGCTCGAAAGTTTACTTCCTGGCCTGACCAAGCAGGCGAAAAGGAAATCTCGGTTGCAGCCTGGGAGGGAGGAGCCCCAGCACAGTTCATAGGGGCAGCATGCGCGCTGAATGGAGCTGCGCATGTGCGAGTAGCCGGTTTGCCACCCGCGGGCTGCAGCTGAAACGGGAAGGTTCCATTCCGCTGTCTTAAAGCGCCTCGGTGCAGAAGTGCCAGTAAGCTGGGTGGCATTTTGTTCCCTCCTGCACAAGTGGGCTTGAGAAGTGCAGCCCGGCGGGCTAGCCATTGAATCATAGGAGTGTGGGGAGTTGGAAAGGGCGACAGGGTGCGTGCCCACAGAGAGGGCTCTGAGTGCCCCCTCTGGCACGCATGCCATAGCTTCACCACCACTCACCTAGGTGGCAGCGGGGTGGGGGGGGGGAAGGTTGTTTCACAAATGTCTTATGTACTTGCTGAAATTAAGGTCACTTGGTCTGGAATGGGGCTGTCCAGTTGCCAGATTTCGTCTGTTGCACAGCTGCAGAATCAGCCTCTCTCAACAAACATCTCCCTGCTCCTAATTTGATGCAGTGTTTGTCTGTGAGCTGAATTCCTATCTGCTTACTAACTGATCTATATGACTGAACCAAGTTTACACCAGCAGAGCATCTGGCTTCTGTTAGAGCTAGCCAGATCCCAAAAGTGGTGACCTTTATTCTACGTGTTTTGGGAACTTCATTTCTTCTTTTCAAATTTCTGTGTGCCATGGCTTTCAAAGCCAATGAAAAGGCAGCTACCTGGAACAGAGGCAGGCAGCGCCTGGTCCTTGCATGCCCACCTGTGTCTGGGATGCCTCTCTTCAGAGGGCTGGGGTGGAGAGCTTGCATGATGGAAAGCTCAATCAAACAAAAGCATACCTCTGTATGCAGAAACCTGGCTTTTCTCTGAAATCTTGTTTTCCGTGTGCAGTGAATTCTTTGTTTTTCTTTGGTATTGAGGAACATTCTGCCACTTGAGCCTCTGACTCTTAACTGCCTTCATGGCTGACTCTACAGTCAGTGATCATATATATCCTGCAATATGCAGAACATAGTGCAGAGACTTGTTGAATCAGGGGTGGGGAACCTTTTCTGACTGGGGGGCAATATCTTTATCTCCCCACCCCTGCCCGGCCAGACTTGGGTCAGTCACTTGACATCACTATGATGTCAGGTGATGCTGCACTTTGACGCTCCAATTTGCCAGGACTTCAAAGTGCAGTATGGGACGGTTTGAAAGCCTTTTGCAAACAGCCCCAGTGCTGTGCTTTGGCTACGTGCACCTGTTCCTTTTTTCTTTTTTAAAAAAAGATTTTATTAAGACTTTTCATAATACATACAATTAAACAACAAACTAAGCAAAAACAAAGAAAAAAAGAGGGGTGGAAGAATGATTCAAAGTCCTGTTTCCAGCTGTTCTTCCCTCTGCTAGGTGATGTTTTTCCAGTCTTCAATTCAGGCATTCAATTTTCTTTCAAGACAAGAAGTCCAAAAGAAGTTCTCTGATTATTATTATAGATAAACATCAGCCATAACCTTCTACCAATCCAACATCACAACTTTTGCTCTAATATTAAGAAGTATTCAGTCCTTGCTCTTTATTCACTCCAGAGTTTCTTCACTGTGATTATGTATTAAGACAATAATCCAGATGAATATGTTCTCTTTCTATCTACAGTTTCTGCTTTCTTCTCGGAGCGTCTGAAGGAAGGACATGTGAGGCTCTATCCAGACAGCCAATGCACACCCAAGCTCCTTTCAAACAGGACGGTCACTGAGAACATGCTGTGTGCAGGAGACACCAGAGAGATTGACGATGCCTGCAAGGTAATCCCAGCTCTAGGAATGTTAGGAATTGCCCTGCTGGATCAGACCAGCACCCTGCAAAGCTCACAAGGAGGACATCAAAGCAATGTCCTATTTTTTGTCTCTAGATTCTGAGGATCAGAGGTAAATAACATCTGACTTTGGAGATCCCATATTTCAGAGTGGGGGGGGGGGGAGCTGGACATAGGATTTTAAAAAATAAATAGCCATTGTGGCTTATAGCCATGGTTTGATGATGATGATGATGATGATGATGATGATGATATTTATATGCAACTCACCTGACTGGATTGCCCCAGCCACTCTGGGCAGCTTTCAGCAAAATATAAACACACTATAAAACACCAAACATTAAAAACTTCCCAGAACAGGGATGCCTTCAGATGTCTTCTAAAAGCCATTTGTTTATCTGACATATGATGGGAGAGTGTTCCACAGGTTGGGTGCCACTACCCAGAAGGCCATGAATTTTGTCTGCCTAAGCTGTCAACCATCCCTGCACTTTGCAGCAGTGAACCGCATAGAGCAGTGTTTCTCAGACTTGGGTCCTCAGCTGTTGTTGGACTTCAACTCCCCTCATGGCTGACCACTGGTTCTGCTAGCTAAGGGTGATGGGTGTTATACAACAACAGCTGAGGACCCAAGTTTGAGAAACACTGCCAATCAATTTAATTGAGTAACCTCTTGAGTTTCGTGATGATGATTCTGTGATTCTGTTGTATTTCCTTTTGGGGGCCTTTTTAAAATATAGTTTTTGGAGTGGATGCAAACATTTTGAACTAGCCTTCAGCTACCAGGCTGGGGAAGGCTGCTTCACCCTTTCCTCTTAGATCACAATATCTCTTTGGCATGGACCTTTGAAAACAGCGGTCATGAAAGCAGCAAGGAAGCCCACTGACCCATTTAAAGGTTAGCTCATTTGGGCGCCTGGGTATAGGCAGCTTATTTAGATACTGGTTCCTGGATCTGCTGATCGTAGGACGACTAGGTGGCTAATTGTGGCTAAAGACTTGTCTTCAGTGAGCCTTAAAATGAATAATGAACCTGTTGCTCACTTAATTCACCCCTCCTTTTTCTTTTCTTTTTGCAGGGCGATTCTGGTGGGCCTTTGGTTTGTCTGAACAATGGCCAAATGAACCTGCTGGGGATCATCAGCTGGGGCGTGGGTTGTGGGAAAAAAGGCATTCCAGGTGTCTACACAAAGGTGGTTCACTATCTGAGCTGGATTCAGGAGAACATGAAGCCTTAATGGCACCTGAAAGCCAGTCATTCCTCCCATTGGAATCTCCTTGCATCAGGGAGAGACAGTGGATGGCAGAACACGAAACTTGTTTCCATATGTATGGAGTGGGAACTGGCAGAAAGCAGGCATGTGCATGTCTGAACGCACCTGCGTGTCCAGCATGCATATGACCCCGACATGCACTTTATGAGAGGAATGAAATCTTCAGCATAGAGCCACACTTGCCTTGTTTAAAGGAGTGTATATCTTTCCCACTTCCACACAGTAAAGAACTTTTCAAACCAGGAAGCGCTCTAAAGAGCAGTTTATGAACAGGAGAAGACAGAGAGTATATTACTCTAGCAGCAGGCTACACAATAACGATATGTGCAGCCAGTAATAAGAAATTCTCTCACACATGCTTAGCCTGCTGAATGAAGAAAGCTCCAGTTTCTCAAGGTTTGCGAAGAGAACGTGGGCATTGCAAAGAAGGGCCCTGATCCGCTCCACCGTTTCTCCAAGCCGGCTTGCCACTTCTCTCCTGCCAGGCCCCTGACCTGAAAGACCCAAGGCTCCCCCAGCTGGGGACGAAATTGCACTTCTAGTCAGGAACATATTCAGATCCTTTTAATCCAAAAGTTTGTTTGCAGGTATTTAACCTTTCTGTGTATGTTTTATATAAAACACTCTTTAATACAATGTTAACCATCTGTCCAAAGGCAGAGTTGTCTTCTGCCGCTACTTGAAAATACTCCTGTGCTGAAAATTGTCCTTCTGTGTGTGGTTCCTAGGGCATTAAACTACCTTGTCTTTGAATTAATTGGTGTGTATTGTATTAATTTGCTTCAATGTTTTTTCCTTATTTTTTTTTTTTAAAAGAGTTACAAAGAAAAGGCACGGGCACAGTGTGTATCGACCGATCCAGAGTCCCACTGAAATCAAGAACACAGTAGTTCTGCTTGCCCAGTTCCCACGCATTTTGAGGTGGGTTGTGCAGGAGATCTTTCTCCTAGGTTGTGTGCTCGGTGACCAGCTTGGAGGGTGGAGTTTGAATTGACACGACAGTGCAAGGATTCGGCCAAATGTGGCGCTTCAGGCCTCCCTTGGGAATCTGCCCCAGTCCTGTTCCACATTTTTCTTGAGTATTAGTCAAATTTCTATACTGCCCTTTGAGGATCACAGAGCTGTTTACTGTATAAGAGGCAACAGGGCTTAGTGAGTGGGAAGGGGTTGGGGCAGAGAGCCGTCCAGAAGCGGAGGCTGGAGAGGAGAGGAGGGGCCAAGAGGCAGAGATGAGTCTGGCTGCTGAAGAAGCTGGGGGGTCCGCCCCCCTCCTGCGACCAGCTCCCTTCCCCCTGATCTCCCAGAACCAGAAGAGGTGTGGAAAAGGGTGGAACACCAACAGGCACAGCAATGGAGTCCGGTTGTTTGAGAAAGACTTGGGAGAGGAGACTTCGGCAACTGTGGGAAGGTGGGGATCTTCAGTCCACACAACTGCCTCATAGGGGCCAGATCTACAGGGATGAGTTGCTGTGCTCACTAGGCCTGGTCTGGCCTGACCCTAAACCTCCGCTGCCATGTGGGATACCGTTGGGAGAAGAAAAGGCACAAAACCCTACACAAATCTGGAGAGGAGTCCCCAAGGCAGTTGGATGGCACCTTGTATGCCTCCTGCTGGCAGCCTTGGGACCATGTTAGCGAGGCCCAGAGCAGGGTCTTGTCGCCTGGCAGCCCAGGACCTCCATCCACACTGCCCAGGCTTGTGCCCCAGGGAAGTCACTTCGGTGCTGCTATAGCAGCAAGTGGACCTCACCCCCAGAGGTGCACTCATAGAATCATAGAAGAGTTGGAAGAGACCACAAGGGCCATCGAGTCCAACCCCCTGCCAAGCAGGAAACACCATCAGAGCACTCCTGACATATGGTTGTCAAGCCTCTGCTTAAAGACCTCCAAAGAAGGAGACTCCACCACACTCCTTGGCAGCAAATTCCACTGTCGAACAGCTCTTACTGTCAGGAAGTTCTTCCTAATGTTTAGGTGGAATCTTCTTTCTTGTAGTTTGGATCCATTGCTCCGTGTCCGCTTCTCTGGAGCAGCAGAAAACAACCTTTCTCCCTCCTCTATGTGACATCCTTTTATATATTTGAACATGGCTATCATATCACCCCTTAACCTCCTCTTCTCCAGGCTAAACATGCCCAGCTCCGTTAGCCGTTCCTCATAAGGCATCGTTTCCAGGCCTTTGACCATTTTGGTTGCCCTCCTCTGGACACGTTCCAGTTTGTCAGTGTCCTTCTTGAACTGTGATGCCCAGAACTGGACACAGTACTCCAGGTGAGGTCTGACCAGAGCAGAATACAGTGGCACTATTACTTCCCTTGATCTAGATGCTATACTCCTATTGATGCAGCCCAGAATTGCATTGGCTTTTTTAGCTGCCGCGTCACACTGTTGGCTCATGTCAAGTCTGTGGTCAACCAAGACTCCTAGATCCTTTTCACATGTACTTCTCTCAAGCCAGGTGTCACCCATCTTTCCTGCTTGGCAGGGGGTTGGACTCGATGGCCCTTGTGGTCTCTTCCAACTCTATGATTCTATGATTCTATGAATCTTGTATTTGTGCCTCTCATTTTTTTGCCCAAGTGCAATACTTTACATTTCTCCCTGTTAAAATTCATCTTGTTTGTTTTGGCCCAGTTCTCTAATCTGTCAAGGTCGTTTTGAAGTGTGATCCTGTCCTCTGGGGTGTTAGCCACCCCTCCCAGTTTGGTGTTGTCAGGGGTTCAGGGAGAGAGGCACAGGGTAGGCAGGAGATGGAGAGCGATGGGGATGAATCCCAAGCCAGCGAGGAAGAGGATGACAATGACTCAAGAGATTCCATGAGTCTTTCCAGTGAATCAGAGGATTCCCAGAAGGGGGGCGCCGGTGGTCAAGGCCAGGAGCCCCAGGGGGACGTGTCAGGAGCAGGGGGCCAGCGGAGGATCCCAAAGTGGCAGCTGGGCGTCAGGACCAGCCTCCCCACCAGAGTGCAGCGAAGGGGGTGGAGTTTCCAGTGTGTCAGGGGAAGCAGCTCCGGCAGCAGAGAAGGGAGGGAGGTCAGAGCAAGCCACCCTCCCGGAAGGGGAGGGGAGCAGTGAAGGGAGTAGTGTAACTGTCAAAAGGAAAGTTAGAGGTTTGGCGCGCGCGCCTAGTTCAAATGTAGAGGCGCGCGGAAGTACAGGCAGCACCTTCCGGGGGTTCTCCTCCGCAGAGGAGACCACGCCGGAATCGAGCCCTCCAAGGGGATCGTGCTCGGGGGTGGACACGGACCGCTCTTATTGGTGGGACGATCAACCTGAAGTGGGGTGGCGAAGGGGGCCTTGGCAAGCAGCTCGCCTGAAGTAACAGGGGGAGGGAAGGGTTTGGATGTGTTGGGGAGGACCCCGGTTTCGAGCACTCCTACACTGAACTGGAAGCAGAGGAGATCGACGTCGACGAACTGTATCCAGCATCTACCCCCGCTACAACGAAGCTCCCGGAACCTGCGCCCGAGCAGCGGGAGGGGGGGCTTCGAGGGGGGGATGGATGTCAGGGGTTCAGGGAGAGAGGCACAGGGTAGGCAGGAGATGGAGAGCGATGGGGATGAATCCCAAGCCAGCGAGGAAGAGGATGACAATGACTCAAGAGATTCCATGAGTCTTTCCAGTGAATCAGAGGATTCCCAGAAGGGGGGCGCCGGTGGTCAAGGCCAGGGGAGCCCCAGGGGGGACGTGTCAGGAGCAGGGGGCCAGCGGAGGATCCCAAAGTGGCAGCTGGGCATCAGGACCAGCCTCCCCACCAGAGTGCAGCGAAGGGGGTGGAGTTTCCAGTGTGTCAGGGGAAGCAGCTCCGGCAGCAGAGAAGGGAGGGAGGTCAGAGCAAGCCACCCTCCCAGAAGGGGAGGGGAGCAGTGAAGGGAGTAGTGTAACTGTCAAAAGGAAAGTTAGGGGTTTGGCGCGCGCGCCAAGTTCAAATGTAGAGGCGCGCGGAAGTACAGGGAGCCCGGAGGAGGGGCCAGGTCCCAAAGCCCGCAGGAGGGGGGAAGAGCAGTCTGATTCCGCGTCAGAGGAATCCAGGAGGGGCGAAACCCCAGTGGGCAGAAGGACCCTGCGGAAAAGGAAAGAGAGAAAGAGGTGGAGCAGCGCAAGCCTCTTAAATTGGTGCAGGGGAGGGACGGATTCAGAGGGGACTTCAGCGGTCTAAGCGTAGCAGACGTAGGGCTGCGCGCCTAGGATGTCAAGCAAACAATGAACTGCAATAAACACTTTTGTATATAAGAAGACATGGGCGTTGGTCTTTTGTGAGCTGAGACTTGAGGCAGCCCTGACAGGTGTCATTTGCAAATTTGATCAGGATGCCCTTGAGTCCATCATCCAAGTCGTTGATAAAGATGTTGAATAAGACCGGGCCCAAGACAGAACCCTGTGGCACCCCACTAGTCACTCTTCTCCAGGATGAAGAGGAACCATTGATGAGCACCCTTTGGGTTCGGTCAGTCAGCCAGTTACAAATCCACTGAGTGGTAGCATAGTCAAGACCGCATTTTACCAGCTTCTTTACAAGAATATCATGGGGCACCTTGTCAAATGCCTTGCTGAAATCAAGGTAGGCTACATCCACTGCGTTCCCTTCATCTACCAGGCTTGTAATTCTGTCAAAAACGAGATCAGGTTAGTCTGACATGACTTATTTTTCAGAAATCCATGCTGACTATTGGTGATCACAGCATTCCTTTCTAGGTGCTCACAGACTGTTTGCTTAATGATCTGCTCCAGAATCTTCCCTGGTATTGATGTCAGACTGACTGGGCGGTAATTATTTGGGTCCTCTCTTTTCCCTTTTTGAAAATAGGGACAACATTTGCCCTCCTCCAGTCTGCCGGGACTTCGCCTGTTCTCCAGGAATTCTCAAAGATGACTGCCAGTGGTTCTGAGATCACATCTGCCAGTTCTTTTAATACTCTTGGATGCAGTTCATCTGGCCCTGGAGACTTGAATACATCTAAACTAGCCAAGTATTCTTGTACTATCTCCTTAGTTATTCTGGGCTGTGTTTCCTTTGCTGAATCATTTGCTCCAAATTCTTCAGGTCGGGCATTGTTTTCTTTATCAGAGAAGACTGAGGCAAAGAAGGCATTGAGGAGTTCAGCCCTTTCTGTGTCCCCTGTTTGCATTTCACCATCTTCTCCTCTGAGTGACCCCACTGTTTCTTTGTTCTTCCTTTTGCTACAAACATACCCATAAAAGCCTTTTTGTTGCTTTTAGCCTCTCTAGCAAGCCTGAGTTCATTCTGTGCTTTAGCTTTTCTGACTTTGTGTCTACACGTGCTGGCTATTTGTTTGAATTCCTCTTTGGTGGTTTCCCCCCTTTTCCATTTTTTGTACACATCCTTTTTAATCTTAACTCAGTTAAAAGTTCTTTAGATAGCCACCCTGGCTTCTTTAGGCACCTTCCATGTTTCCGTCTCATTGGTATTGCCTGACGTTGTGCTTTTACTATCTCCCTCTTAACAAACTCCCAGCCATCATGAACTCCCTTTCCTTTTAGTATTACTGTCCATGGGATCTCACCCAGCACTTCCCTAAGTTTTATGAAGTCGGCTTTCTTAAAGTCAAGAAATTGAGTCCTAGTATGCTTGGCTGCTCCTTTCCGCTGTATAGTAAACTTCAGAAGAGCATGATCACTCGCACCTAATGATCCTTCCACTTCTACCCCACTAACCAGGTCATCAACATTGGTTAGGACCAGATCTAAAATGGCTGTTCCTCTTGTTGCTTCTCCCACTTTCTGGACAATGAAGTTGTCTGCAAGGCCAGTGAGGAATCTGTTTGACCTTATGCATCAATAGGAGTATAGCATCTAGATCAAGGGAAGTAATAGTGCCACTGTATTCTGCTCTGGTCAGACCTCACCTGGAGTACTGTGTCCAGTTCTGGGCACCACAGTTCAAGAAGGACACTGACAAACTGGAACGTGTCCAGAGGAGGGCAACCAAAATGGTCAAAGGCCTGGAAACGATGCCTTATGAGGAACGGCTAAGAGAGCTGGGCATGTTTAGCCTGGAGAAGAGGAGGTTAAGGGGTGATATGATAGCCATGTTCAAATATATAAAAGGATGTCACATAGAGGAGGGAGAAAGGTTGTTTTCTGCTGCTCCAGAGAAGCGGACACGGAGCAATGGATCCAAACTACAAGAAAGAAGATTCCACCTAAACATTAGGAAGAACTTCCTGACAGTAAGAGCTGTTCGACAGTGGAATTTGCTGCCAAGGAGTGTGGTGGAGTCTCCTTCTTTGGAGGTCTTTAAGCAGAGGCTTGACAACCATATGTCAGGAGTGCTCTGATGGTGTTTCCTGCTTGGCAGGGGGTTGGACTCGATGGCCCTTGTGGTCTCTTCCAACTCTATGATTCTATGATTCTATGATTCTATGATTATGCTCTTGGCTGAGTTTGACATCCAAAAAATATCCGGGTAATTGAAGTCCCCCATTACTACTATCTCCCTTCCTTTTGCATGCTTGGCCATCTGTTCCAGGAAGGCATCATCTATGTCCTCCGTTTGGCTTGGGGATCTATAGTAAACTCCCACAATGAGGTCACTGTTATTCTTCTCTCCTTAATTTTGACCCAAATGCTCTCACTTTGGCTTTGAGGTTCTAAATCTTGGATCTCTTCACAGGTATACACATCCCTGACATATAACGCCACTCCTCCTCCTTTCTTGTCTGGTCTGTTTCTCTGAAATAGATTGTATCCCCCATTATTACATTCCAATCGTGGGACTTATCCCACCAGGTTTCAGTGATGCCTATTATGTCATATTTAGTTTGCTGTACCAAGAGCTCAAGCTCATCTTGTTTATTTCCCATGCTTTGCGCATTAGTGTACAGACATTGAAGTCCATTAATCATTCCCCCGTGTCTCTTATTTAAGGATTTTTTCCTCCCACCACTAGGTCTGCGTGCTGTTTGTTCCATTTGCTCTATGACATTTGGGTGATCATCTTCATCAATTGATAGACTCCTACCTTCAGGAGCACTGTCTCCCTCCCCCACATTAGTCAGTTTAAAGCCCTCCTGATGAGGTTTCTGAGATTTTTGGCAAAAACATTTCTCCCAACTATTGTGAGGTGCAACCCATCGCTTGCCAGAAGTCCATCTTCAAGAAACTGCAGTCCGTGATCTAAGAATCCAAACCGTTCCTGTTTACACCATTTGCGAAGCCAGCTTCTCACTTCCACTATTTTTCCCTCTCTCCCTGGGCCACGTCGTTCAACTGGGAGGACAGATGAGATGACAATTTGTGCATTTAATTGCTTCAATTTCCTGCCCAGAGCCTCGTAGTTTCTTTTGATCTTCTGGAGGCTATTGCTTGCAGTGTCATTGGTTCCCACATGAACCAAGAGGAAGGGGTATTTGTCAGTGGGTTTTATGATTCCTTGCAGTCGTTCAGTTACATCTTGGATCTTAGCCCCGGCGAGACAGCACACTTCCCGAGACATCTTGTCAGGCCCACAGATCACTGCTTCTGTTCCCCTCAGTAGGGAATCCCCTATCACCACTACACGCCTCCTCTTAGGTTTGATCGGGGTTCTTCCGTGAGCTGTCCGTTCCAAGGTCGCCTGCACATTCCCTGAGGACTGACTTTGCTGCTCGTCTTCATATACCTGATCGACTGTAATGAGGGAGAGATCCTCAAATGGAGTCTGCGCTTCGTCTTCCATGCTAGGGGAGAGGACCTCAAAGCGATTGTGTATTTCTAAACAATCAGAGCGAGCCCTGGGCTTCCTACTCCTTTGAGTCACATTTCTCCATATATCTGGCTCCATTGTCTCAAGACTGAAGGACGCTAACTTTCAGTGTTCATCTGCATTTCATGCCCCGGCTCTCGTGTGCCATTTTTCAGCAGTTTGTTTTTTGACCTTGCTGCTCCATAACCCTGGAATATTTCTCCACCTTTGATCCAAACAGCTACTTATCGAAAGTGCATTTTCTCGCTCTGTCTGTCCTGCTGTTTTTTCATGATCTTCCTTTCTCCCCTCTGCATTCCCTTTCTCTTGCATACCATAGTTTGCAAGCCGGGGGGGGGGGGTCAGAATGTGCCCCTCTTTGATTTCTGCATGGTGCCCAGCAGGATGCTGAGGACAGCACAAACAGCAAATGTTGGCGAAAGGTCAACTGCAGGAATCAAACATTCCTCGTATATAGAAATGACAGAAATAGATGAAAGGAGAAAGAGAGTAGCAAGTAAGATAAAAGAAAAACAAGCAAAATGGTTCAGGGCAGTTAAAGAAAAGAAACAGAAATCATGCAAAAAGGATATTACAGTACTATTCTTTCTGAAAATAAGAGACTGATGGCATACACAATTACTTGGGCATGTCCCACTGAATTCAAGAGGACTTGCATCTGTATTGAGGTATCAGGGTTGGGAATTCCAGGCTATCCTCCTCCCAACTTCACAAGGTCTTTCTGCTCTGCTGCTGTTCAAAGTTCAAGCCAGGGCTGATTTGGCCTTCTGGTGATTTAGCCTTTCAGGAATGAAGGCCTCACTCCAACGCAGTGAACAAGGCCTTCGGCGGTAGGCTTGTTGACTCAGAGAAATGAGACGGCATTTCTCCCTCTCCAGAATCCCCAACAACAGAACAAAGGACGGCCGTAATGTGGACGCTTGCTTGGCTCCCTCTGCTGTGTCCTTGGCATAGATAAGCCATGGTTTTCCAGATGATGTTGAACTACAACTCCCATCAGCCCCAGTCAGCATATCTTAGGGTTGTATTTTTTGGGCAGCGGCGGGGGGGGGGGGGGCTTTTTTATTTTTGGCCAAAGTTGTTGAGCTTCTTTTGCAAAATCTCAAAAATATATACGAAGTTTTAAAGGAAATTAGCCAAAATCCACACTTCCAACATGGGTTGCCATACGTCCAGATTTTCCTGGACATTTTCAGTGGTTTTCAACCAGACGCTGTTTCCAAGGGATGGATCCTGGCTATGTCCAGGAAATTCCAGACGTATGGCAATCCTAGCATAGCTAATAGTCAGGGATGATGCGACTTGTAATCCAGCAATTCCTGAAGGGCCACATCTCTACCACAGAGATCTGGGGGGCAGAGGCTGTCGATTTTGTGTAGTACCAGAGGTGTCTCCTTTCAGCAACTCCTGCAGCCCAGCTGGTGCCAAATGTATTGCTCTGCTTTCCTTTGGACCCCACCAGTGAGGCCGAGAGGCGGGTCTTGTCGTCTGGGAAGCCAAAGACCTCCCTTCACGTGGCCCAGGCTGGCGCCCTGGGAAGGTCACTTTGGTGCTACTAACGCAGCAGAAACAAGGCAGGAGGCAGGAGGCAGCAGTCACGAGTTACTGTTCTCAGCAGCCACAGCAGGTGCTGTGATTCTCAGTGGTTTGATTCCCACCCCTGCCAAGGCATATGCAGTTGTCTCTTGATACAGATGGCTGTCAACCAACACCACCACAAATTGGGTGTGAAATCTGACCCCCCTGGGTGGGGAGGACACCAGTTTGTAGGGAAGCTCACTTGCAAAAGTTGCTGGCGGAGGGCCATAGCTCAGAGCACACACTTTGCAACTGGCTCAATGGAATAAGGATTTGTCTCCTTTTAAAATCAGTCCTTTATTCAGAATCATGAGGGCTGGAATCTTACTTTATTTTGAGAGGGAAGGGTTTTATTTTGGAGGTAGCAGAGTGCACACTTTAAACACAGAAGGTTCCCAGTTTCAGTCCTCAACATTTCCCTGCCCCAAACCCTGAAGAGTCACTGCCAGTCAGTGTCAGCAACACTTAGTTCAATGGGCCAACTTGACAGGAGGCAGCTTCCTGTATTCCCATTGGACTGAAGGTGAGCAGCACGAGACCATCAGATCCACCAACTGGAATCAGGCTTTCAGCGGGCACCAGGAGACAGCAGCACTGAAGGGAGTGTGGCGGCAGCGGCAGCACCTGGCAGGCAGCCCAGCCCAAGCCTCATCTTTCCAAGCTCAAAAGCTGAAGAGGATGCAAACTCATCAGGAAGGCCTGATGATGATACAGAACTGGGTCATCCCGGGATTAAACTTGGAAGCAACATCAAATTCCAGGCCTTTGAGCAAGCTGAACTTGCCCTCAGAGATCAAAATCAACAGAATGCTTCCAAGTTACCAGAGTAAACATACTGGTCTGTTCTTTTGTTTTTATCAATTTTTATTGGAAGTTTTCCACATAAAATACAATAAAAGCCAAGCTAATCTAAAGAGAAAGCAAGAGAGAGAGAAAAGCAAGAACAGAATCACAGAATTGTAGAATTGGAAGGGACCCCAAGATTCATCCAGTCCAACCCCCTGCGATGCAGGAATCCCAGCTAAAGCATCCCTGACAGATGGCCACCCAATCTCTGCTAAAAAACCTCCAAGGAAGGAGAGGCCACCAACTCCCCAGGGAGTCTGTTCCACTGCCAAACTGCTCTTACTGTCAGAAAATTTCTCCTGATGTTTAGTCGTACTCTCCATTCTTGTAACATGAAGCCATTGCTTCTAGAGCAGGGGAAAACAAGCTTGCTCCATGTGACAACCCTTGCGATATTTGAAGATGGCTCTCATATCTCCTCCCAGTCTCCTCTTCTCCAGGCTAAACATACCCACCTCCTTCAACCTTTCCTCAGAAAGCTGGGTTTCCAGACCCTTATCATCTTGGTCACCCTCCTCTGCACGTCTTCCAGCTTGTCAACATCCTTCTTAAACTGTGGTGCCCAGAACTGGACCCAGTATTCCAGGTGTGGTCTGACCAATGCAGAATAGAGTGGGACTATAACTTCCTTTGATCTGGACACTAAATGTCTGCTGATCCTTTCCACATGTACTGCTAGTGAGCCCGTACATGATTATCTCTGCTGACAGGAGTGTCAGCAGTCAACATATAGTCCACCACAATTCCTCCTCAGAAGTCCAGTAAACATACTGGTTTGGAAGAGTGGGGTAACAGTGCATCAAGTGGATTGGCACACGCGCTGGGTGCATGTGTATTGCATTAAAACCAGCACGGTGAGTGGTTAGAGCAGAGGCATGGAATCTTTTCCAGCCCAATTCTCTCATAGGCAACCTGGCAGGGGCTACCTGCCAAAGATGGGCACCGCCAGAGATGCAGGCGAGCATCTCAACGGACATGATTCTTAGTCTTATGCAGGAGGCTATATGCAAAGTCAGAGGTTTCTACACACACCTCTTGACCCTTCCAAGTTCAAGGAGACATTCCCACTAGGCACAAGCACTTGAGAGACACCTGTTCGATCAGACAGAAGTGCCAGAGATCTGCAGGCAGGAATGTGTAGGGCACATGCTTTTCATGCAGAAGGTCTCAAATTCAACTTCTGACATCTCCAGCAAGGACTGGGAGACCCTGCCTGAAAACTTGGGAGAGCTGCTGGCCAGCCAATGTAGTCAAATGAATCCACTGGTCCATCTCACTCAGTACTGTCTGCACTGACTAGCAACAGTCCCCAACCATTTCAGAGAGGGGGTGTTCTCACCCCGACCTGGTGGGGACTTAACCTGGGACCTTCTGCACGCAAAGCAGATGCTCTCTTACTGAGCTCTGGCCCTTCCTTAATAGTGGGCTAGAAGGAATGCTGGTCTGAGGGTAGAAGAGCAGCTTCTGCTGCTCCTTCCTAGTCCATCATCCTATTGTGGCCATCGCAGGTGCCCCTTGGGAAGCCCTCCATCGGGACATCCTGCAACCCTGCCATCAGCTAACCTAGGGCACAACATATGCAGAAGTGCCGCGCCTGCTCCCTTGAAATGAAGCAAGACCTTGCCATCAATGGGAGGAGCTGCGGAAGAGCATGGTCTCAGGTGCAGGATTTCCTCCTTGTTGTACCTGATGGGCCAGATCTGTGCACCTTTTGCTCTCCTGTCCTTAAATGGTGCCAAACATCACCCACCCACCCAAACTAGGCCTTCCTCTTGGCTCCCACCTGAGAAGGCCCACTGGTTTGCAGAAGGGGAATAACTATCCAAGGGCACAGAATCACCATTCCTGGAGTTGCAGCTCCACCTACTGAGCATGGGAAGCAAGCACATCTCTCCCTCCCACAGAAAGAGGAGAGTGCACTTTTCACATGTGCCAAAACCACACCTAAGCTTTTCTTTCCTTTACACACACTCACATGGGTGTGGTGGGCTTCAGCCCCGCTGTGCATATCCAATTCCATTGCTAATGACAGCATGCACTGAATATCGTCCTCCCAAATACGGTGCTTTAGGACCCTAAAGGACTCCTTTCTCCTGCTTAAATCTGCCTGAATTTCTAAGATTGTCCTGGGAGGCTTCTACAAGTCCACATGTCCTTTGAAGCAAGAGGGAAAGGCTCTGATCCGTTGTCTTCATGGAATGCTCTCTTGACACCAACTCTGATTTCTTGCCTGCACCAAGTGCTGAAATAGGAACAGACCTTCTACCTCACGTAATCCCTGACCGCTTCATCCATGGTTCCAAGACTCAAAACGAAGTCCTGGGCTCATAATTCTTTTACATCTAAGTGTATGTCTTTCGTACTTGGCTCCAGTTGACAGATCTTGAGGCTACAGTATAAATAAAACACACAACAAAGCAGATCACACAAGCCTGAAGCCTGCCCACCCTTGCTGTAGATCTGTCTTTATGCCAGAGTTCATCTGGTTTTATTGAGATTTTGTTGTTTTTAAATAGTTCACTACTTTTATGCACTTTTATATGGAAATATCAGAGACCAGAGTTCCTTTCACACAAGGACTGTAGATGTGGGGGTGGAAATTGTAGGTAGAAAAGGGCTGCACTCAAGGTTGCACACACACACTGCCAAAGCCACACCCCAACATTGGCCTCCTCCACAACACCCACAAATTAGGCATTTGCAAAGGAAAGCCTCCCCATGTTCACATCTAGGCAGCATTCCAGAACACACAGAAAGTCTAATGTGTTTGGAAGTCTATACATGTAGACTTTTCTTTGCAGGTGTCCACTCTTAATGTGTAGGAAAAACTTCAGGAGTGATGCACCATCTTGGGGCTGAGGACAGAGGGCTGGCCCTGCAGCCTGTCTGGATGTGGACTCCCCTTCGCATGGGAAGCTGAGGCTTAAGCCAAGTAATGGTCTGTGGAAATGCTGGGGCAAGAACAGAAGGGCAGACCTGTTCCTGGTGGGCTTGTGCTCCCTCTGAAGGACCCAATTCAAGTTTTGTAGGTGCTCTCAGATCTGGAGCTTCTTCCAGATCTTCAGGTGGCAAGGAGTGCTTTGGCCCAGTTTCAGCAGGTGTGTCAGCTGCACCCCTCCCTGGAGAAAGCAGATCTGGCCAGTGACTTTAAGTCACATTTGGATCAGATCTACACATGGAATTATCATTCAAAAGTGTTTGGAAATGACAGCTGGTGCAGAATCATGCAGACAGATTACCACATTACAACACTCTGCTAAAAATGGCACCACCTTGCAATCTGCTAGTGGCTGCAATTCAATGGGCTGGTGATTACATATGGGGTCTTACTGTAGGAAGGTGATCATTGAGGGTGGAGGAAGTTTCTTTAAGAGAAAACCTCCACTGCTACAAGGGGATGCACCTCATTCTGTCTTCTTTGCACTCAGAGAGTGGCAGGTATCTGATGGGCGAAAGGGTCTTCTGAGATTCTGACCCACCAGAGTCCTGAAAAAGCGATCCAAGGTACACGGCCATTTTAATAATTATTATTTTTTTAAAAAATGGGCACTTCAATCGTGAAGTCCAGCATGCAAGGATTGTTTTGGCACAGTAACTAACCAGCCTCGTGGATTCTCCCCATGTGGCTCACAGCTGTATGCTGTGCTTTTAGAGTTCTCAACAATGGGGACATTCGGAAGATGGTTTGCTGTGTCAAAAAGGAAACAACCTGGCTTTGCTGCGTTTTATAAAACAAACAAGCGTGAAAATTGATGTAAGCTCTGACCGGTATGCACACAACTATAATCTACTTGCATAGGAGCGATATGCATAAGAGAGAGGACAGCCAGGAGAGCAACACACCACTGCATGTAGGAAGAGGAGCCACAAAGCAGCCCCCGCAAAGCCCCAGGCTCCTGCCACCACTCCACTCCCTGAATCCAGCCTTCACTGTCCTGGTGCCCTCCAGATGTTTGCGACTGCAACTCTCATCAGCCCCAGGGTGGTCCAAAGTGCCTGGAGGTCAGCCAGGTTGGTGAAGGGGCTGCCTTAGCAAGACGAAGGACACAGGGGACACAGCCTCCCCTCCCACCACAACCCTTCAGCAAAGAAAATAACGGGGATTTTTTGGACAGCGAAAGATGGTACAGCAGCAGCAGCTCTGAACACAGTTGCATTTTGTGTCCCACTGCTATCTCTGGATGAACAGGCTTTGTGGTTTTCAAAGCATGACCAAGAAATCTGCAAAAAGCCATTCGAGACAGACGAGTGTTGGACTGGCCCTTGGCAGATCTGCAAGGAGCTCAAGTGCCTCTTCCACATGACCTTCAGGCCCCACAAGACTATTAGCTCTTTCCAACCTCTTCCCCAAGCAATACATTTAAAACAGGACAGGAGGAAATGAGGAGAGCATCCTGTTCCCCTGTCCAGTCCTCTTCAGCCAGCTCTTTGTCAAGGATTTACGGGGTGGGGAGTTCTTTCCTAGGCAGTCTTTGAAACAAACAAGAAGAGTCCCAGATGCAAAAGAGGAGGATCATCTTCAGGATCAAACCCCTCAACCTCTAAAGACGTCTCCTCCTGTCTTCAGATGCTACCGGAACGCCAGACAGCAAATAACGCCAGCCAAAAAATAGGGAGAAGGGGGCAGGATTTTCATGAGCTGAAACATTCGCTGGTAAGCCGGGAAGATGGTTCACAGTTTCCCGTTTGCTCTTCAATCCCACCCAAGAGCTTCACAATTTAAGATCCAGGTGTAATTGCTAGGTTTGCCCAGCTGGCGGGGGTGGGGGTGGGAAGAGATACCTGCCTTGACCTACTCCAGGTGGGCCATAGCAAGGAGCAGCTCTGGGAGGTGGGACACAGTCGGACTGAAAGTCAGGGCACACGCAAGCCTTTTTGCGGGCAGGGCCACCGTTATGTTCTCACTTGGAACTTCCCAGCTTTGGTCATGTATTTGATCCCTTTGAAAGGCTTGTATTTCTCTCCATACATGTCCAGGCGATTCACTTTCAAACCTAGGAGGGCGGAAAAGGTAAGGAGAGAGGTTGGGGGAGAGCAACTGGGGAAGACCAGACATGGCGGCTCTGTTCTGCCTCCACTGACGGAGGCAGAAGACCCGAGTGCCCATTTCTGGGAACCACAGGTGAGGAGAGTGCTCTTGCACTCAGGGCCGGCTTGCGCACTTCGCAGGGCATCTGGTTGGCCACCGTGAGAACAGAGTGTGGGACTAGATGGGCCACTGGCCTGATCCAGTGGGCTCCTCTTAGCCCCTTAGGATGTTGCGACTGTTAGGCACATATGCACAGAACTGCTTAATCTTCATGAAACCTATTATGCTAGAGATGGGAAGGAGCAAAGGAGGGGACTAATTGTCTGCTGCAGTCCACTGAGCCATATAGTTTCTTTCACATGTCCCCCTGTAGCAGTAAGATTGCTGCTTTGTACATCCCTGTCTTTAGGCACCAGGCAAAAAAAATCCTCTGTAACCAGGACTTCGGCCTTTAACTATCTGTGGCCTTTTAGAAGGGGGTGGGATGTTTTTAATGTATCCCCTCCCCTGGTTTTAGTGTATCTCTGTGGGGTGGGTGAGTGGGTTGTTAAGTCGCTTTGGGTTGCCTTGGGCAAGATAATGTCATTAAGAAGTTTAATAAACTAATAGATGTTAGGTGAGTGGCTAAGTGCCCCAGAACAGAGTCCAGCAACGACCAGGATACCAAGTCAGAGGCTACAGCCTTCAGTTAAGGAGCCAGATCAGGTTCCTGGCTCCAAGCTTGACACAGGTAGTAAGAGAATCTCTGAGCCCAGCTCCCACAACACCAGGGGTCAGAGAACCAGAGCCGAGATGCTTCCCCTGAGCTCGAGGAACCAAGTGCCTGCCCCTCCCAAATGACCTGGCCAGGGACCGCAGGAGGCAGGAGACCACAGCGCCCAGGAGAAGTGGCCATCTTCAGGCCAGAGGCTGCTTCCCCAAAGGACGTGGAGCCAGAAGAGGCAGGACGGAAGGCAGAGGCTAAAGAGGCCTCCGTTCACTCCCAACCTTCTCGTAGCAAGTCACTCACTGGGCACGCTCCGTGCCACTGAGCCAGCTGACCGGCCTGGATGCGTGAGCTCCTCCAGGCACCAGACTAATAGGGCATGACAGAAGAAAGGGGATTCTCAAGGATGGCGTCCAGGATAGAGAACGTTTGGCCTAGGAAGACCTGCTTTGGTCAGGTGCCTCTTTTAAGAAACTGGCAAAGGGGACACTGGGCATTCATTAAAACACTAATCGCCCCACCTATTTGCCCAACAGAGTGGGAGCTTTTCAAGGCAGCTCAAAGCAACCATTAAGATGGAATAAGGGTGGCTTTTGCGTCAGCAACAGGCTGTTAAATTGCCTTGCAGGCCCACCATCCTCTGCTGTCGTCTGCTTTGCTTTATCCTAATTGGGTCAACTGAGAGAGAAATGTTTCAAAAGGAAGTGAGTAAGTTTAAAAAAGCGGAGTGTCACTGAACTCTCTGCCCACATACCGGAAATGGCCAGCTGCTGGATTTTGAACTGCAGGTTGATGGTGGGGTTCTCGTCCGGCTTGGAGGCTCCTGCCTGGAGGCTCATGGTCCCCTTCAGATTGGGCAGCTTTTGGGGGTTGATCTTCCCCACATCCCAAGACAGCAGCTTCACAGGAGAAACAGAAGACAGGCAACCACAGAGCTTGGAGTCAGTAAGACAGAGGAAGGTTGAAAGCCAGTGTGATGTCGTGGCTGGAGAGTTGGACTAGGACCTGGGGGAGACCAGGGTTCAAATCCCCACTCGGCCAGAAAGCTCGCTGGGTGACCTGGGGACAGTCGCTCACTCTCAGCCTAACCTACCTCACAAGGTTGTTGTGAAAATAAAACGGGGAGGAGAAAAAAAGTGTATCACCTTGAGTTCCTTGAAGGGAAGTTACGATATAAAGGTAATAAATGAATAAATAAAATAAGGTTTGGGGCCTGGAAAGTGTAGGACTTGCAGTGCTGACACACAGGAAGGAAGGGTATCAGAATATGCCTCTGCCTTGACCTCAGACATACAGACCAATCTGCAACTAATGCACTGTGAATCAATTTGAGTTTACATCTCAACCCTCTTGTGTGCTTATTCAGAAGCAAGTTCTTGCTCTATTCAGAGGACCTAAGTGTGGATAGGAAGCTTTAGTTAATCATCCAAGACACCCTTCCCAGGGTGCTGCTGCCTTTGGAATCAGAGGGTGGGGAGGGCAAAGGGAGGAAACAGAACAGGGGCTTCTAAGCAGTGGTGCCCTCCCTGGGGAATTCATGGTTTGCTCACTGGACACCTCTAGTGGGCTGACCAAGACCTTTCCTCTCTTAAAGCAAACTGGTCATTCCTATTGCTGCCATCTCCAGTTCCACTCTACTCACTTGACTGCCTTGGTGACTGCAAATTGTTTTTAACTTGGTTTTAATATATCAGTGCATATGCACATTGTGTGCCCTGTCTTCGAGTGTCTTGGCTTTGAAGACACTCGAACTCAGGACGCAAGGGAGAAATGTGCTAAGAAGAAGGCCCGCTTGGCAAATCCACACCATGATCAACTCCCACCCGGAAACCAATGTCCCCACTGTGGAAGGATGGGTGGATCCAGAATTGGCCTCCACAGTCACTTACGGACTCATTGCTAAAACTCTGTTTGTGGAAGACCATCTTACTCTGCTACAAGTGATCGCCAAAGAAAGAAAGAACATTGTGTGGCAAGTAGGAATGGATCTCAGGTTCTCATTTTTTCAGTCATAATATCTGTACTCCAAATTTCTGTAGCAACTTGTGGATTATTATTTTTTAATCCTCCTGAAAATTCACCAGCATTTTAGTGCTAATTTCTCCTAGTGAACACATTTTGGTATACTATTTTTAGTAATATACACAATTTCACAAGCAATTTCCTGTAATACAATGCATTATTGTAAGTTGTTTTCACTAATACACGTGTTTTTATGCACAGTTTAGTATATATTTCTGTACACATTATTTGGCTGGAGAACTGCATGCAGAAATTGTGCCACTCTAATTGCCCTACTTTGAAAAGATGCCGAAAAGCATCTAAATGGGTCAAGGGGCTCTCATCTCCTCTCTTCCTGGAAGACGAGAGAAATTGTTCAAGAACCAGACTTAGCTGCCCCAGTCCCACCTCCCTTCTCACCTTTGTGACAGGATCAAATGTGTGCGCCCCCTGCGAAGGCGTGAGGGTCATGTTTAAGACTCCTTTGGGCATCTGGCTGGTGACCATCACCCCCTCCACGCTCTTCCCCATTGTCTGCTTGGGACCCACGGTGATCTCAAAGCGGCCCAAGGAGTTGCTGTCCCGGAAACTGATGTTGTGCTTCACATAAACAGGGATGGACACCAAGCTGGAACAGAGGAGACACCATTGCAGCAGCAGCAGCAGTAAAAACCAGCTCCCCCCAACCTGGTGTCCTGCTCCGTATGTTTTGGAATACAACTCTCATCAAGCCTAGCTAGTAGGGGAGTCACGTTTCGGCACTGTGGTCCAAACTGCCACCTCACCCCCCCCCCGCCGCCCCACTGTGCTGGCCAACGATGATGGGAATTGCAATTAAAAGCATCTGGAGCAGGGCACCAGGTTGGAGAAAGCTGCCCTAACCTGCCCGGTCCTGTGTAGGAGGACAAGGATTTTTGTGGAGCCAAAGATGCACTGTAGATCTGAAACAAATTTGGGGGAGGGATGGTGGCTCCTAAGTGCTTTTTTCCTTTTTAAATTTGGCTTGCAAAACTTTGAATTTACATTGTCAGCATTGCCAATGACAACTACTTTCAGATTTATAGATTTTAGTCAGTCAGTCAGTCAGTCAGTCAGTCCCTAAGCATCATCACCTTAAAATCCATGAGTACTGTTACATCCCAAAAGCAACTCTCAACACTGAATGGCAATGGCAACATTTTTAGTTTGTGTAAGGTTTTGTTTCAGCTCTACTATAGAGCAGATTAGCTTTGTCATCTTGATTTTTCAAGAGCCAGTCTGACTATGGCAAATGGCACTTCTGAAGGTCACTGGGGGGGAGGTGGGGTCCATCTGTGCACACCCCTAGCATCTAGTCTTCCCGCTGATCCAGGACAAAGGAGCTGCTCCTTTGTCTTAATTCTGCTCTTTCTGTGCTCAGTTTTAGCAAAGGGTCTGCAATATCCCGTTTCATCACTCCCTCTATTTCCAGCATTCAGGGATGTCACTGCTTATGGAGCAAAAACAAAAACCTCCGGGACTGAGTGTCTGCAGTGACCACTGAATACGGACTGACTGCTGAGGATGAGGAACAAAGCAGAGTATCCTGAACAGCAATACACCATGCTGTAACATTTCGTTGCAGGTTCCTTGTGGCACCTTCCAAGCCAAGGTTGACTTCATGCCCCACAGTTGCTGATCTGTTTCTGGGCCCAATTCAAGGTGCCCATGTTCATGTTTAAAACCCTAAACTCAGGCCTCAAGTATATATATATATATTTAAAACCTTGCCTCCTTCCTTACAGACTGGCTTCTTTGCTACGTAGCTTTCGGCAAATGCTGGAGACATACCTCTTTACCCTTAGACGCCTGAGATGTGTGTTTTCAGGACATACCGTATTCTTGTGAATGTAGTATGTTCTGTTTTTAATTCAGAATTTTAAGTTGTTGTAACCCGCCCTGGGACTTGATGATGAAGGGTGGGCAATGAAGAGAAGAGAAATAAAAATAAAATCAAAAAGGGAATGGAGCCAATAAGAGGGTGGCAGTTCCCCTGGGTGGGGGAGAGGCACAATGTCACCACGAGGGATTCCTTTTCAAACCAAGTGTTTAGGGAAAGATCCTGGACCTTGGGAGCCAATGATTGCTCCCAACCCCACTCCTTACTTCTGAGCGCTGACATGATATGACAGCAGACGGAAGTTCCCATCTGGAGGAATGAAGGAGAGGATACGTTCTGATTCCCAACGCTTGAAACGCACACATGGGTGGAAGCTGACGTCGTCCAGCAACCTGGGATTCTAATGCAAGCAAGATAAAGATAGCAGAGATTTCTAACCAGACTGTTCTCTCTCCTGAAATCAGTGGGTTGTCTTTTCTGCTGCCTGTCTCTTCCCCACAGTTCCTGATGTATTCCCAATACCCATTTCAGAGGTCTAACTGAGGGCTGGGCCGTTGGGACTCTCCCCAGGTCACACACCCTCCCCGGCCAAGCATTGGACCCTCCTTGGGTGCTTTCGCTTGGATAGGTGTCCTTGAACTTTGGTAGTGACTCTTGCTTGTCTGGATGGAGGAGAGATGAGCATGTGTAGAAACTAGCCTACTAGACAAAGGTTTGTTGCTCTGCTTGCTTTTGCCTCTGTCTCCATGCACCACTGTCATGTGGCCCCAAAGGGGTTGCCCAGAAGGAAATATGGCCCTTCAGCTGAAAAAGTGTCCCCCACCCCTAGTTTAAACCCTGCTTCCCATCACAACATTCTGCAGTGCCTTCCACCCACACCAGCCAGTTCCTCTGGCATCTTCCCCCAGGGAACCTTGGCGGGTCTGCAGGACAAGCCCCACTTGAATGCCTGGACCTCAACAGTCATCAAGTGATGAAGGACCACACAAGCCCCATCGGGCTTGATGGCCATCTTCCAGGCTTCCCTGACATCTGAAGCGAGGCAGAGAGAGAGCAGGAAAAAGATCTTTCTCTGTTGTGAGGCTCCATATAGCCAGATATGGAATGCCTTCCCTAGGGGTGCTTGCTTGGTGCTGACTTTGATGCTGTACTGTTGCTAGGCAAATAATTTTAAAAATTGCCTGAGCATCGCTGTAGGCAGCAATTTTCCTGCTTGGCTCCTCCTGCTTTTTTACTATCTGGCATGTGAATGTTTCTATACACCAACTGTTCTACTATATTACATATGCCACCCTGACATTTTTATACGGAACAGCAGCACAGAGTTGTATCCAATTAAACTGGAACCATTGGGATTAATGGACCACCCACCCACGCCATTCCACTTCATTTGTTCTGCAATCTTTGCCCAATGCGACCACATCACTGCTGCCTGGTGGGCCATTATTGCACTATAGCGCAATAAAAGAAGGACAAAAAACAAACAGAATATTTACAGTATAAAAAAATACAAGATTTCAGCAGAAAGTTACAAGACATGCATGGATTGGAAATGAAGCAGGGTGTCTGCCCCAAAAGTTTTGCAGGCACAAGCAGTATAGCAAGTGGGATAGCCTATAACTGCCCCATCAACATCATGGGTGCAAATAATCATGAAGGCACAACAGAAAGGAAATACGGAGGGTACCATAAGCTTGTGATGATCCTTAATTCAAGTAGGTCTACTCAGAGCATGAAAAAAGCAAGCAAGAGGTCCTTCCTCTCAAACTTTACCATAAAGGAGAGGGTAAGGTCTGGCATCCCAGTTAATTTCACGCAAGCATCAATCACCCCTTGGATTTCAGCCGTAATCGTGGAACCTGCCATGGGAAATAAAACCCAAGTGGGTCACAAAGGAGGCCAGGAAACCCGGGGAAATCACTTTGGACACTGATTATGCTTAACAGTAGTCGAGACTTTTCAAAATGGTAGATCACTTTGTAAGTTACATCTGAAAAGAAGCATGCAAACACCATCACTGACGAGGGAAATGAAATGAACAAGAGGAGGGGAATGCATTGAAATGTGTCTTCCTTTGGCCCCAAATGCTGCTGCTTCTGTTCATTGAGGCAAGGACACTGCTGCCTAGAGGCGATGCCATGTGAATACAGATCTTTGTACCTGATTTGTCAATGATGGCATCTATCTCCTCAATCACATCAAAATAGGCCTCGTTGTTGGTGTACTTCACACCGGTTCTTCGCCAAGGAACAACAGACAGCTGTCCTGTGGGGAGCTGCTCTCCCACATTGGTGCTTCCTGAAAAGGTTAAAAGAGATGGCAGTAGACAAGTGGACAGCCAAACCCATTTCCTAATTTCTCATTCTCTTGTACCACAGCAAAACACTGCTCTCTCTCTCAGAAACGGCAGTATTTTCAGATTGCATTTAGTGCAAGGAGTTCCCACCAGGAAGAGCCAAAATATTTTTCTTCTGCATACCAGATTCATGGGGCAGAAGCTGTATGCATATGGAAGTTTGCAACTCTTGCAGCAAAATATCCCACAGCCCAAAGGGAGCAGCTAAGTCTCACTGAGGTTAATGAGAGCTACTCACACATAAATTTGCTCACATTTTTATGGCAAGGAATGCACCAAACTTGGGGGTATTTGTGTCTTCTTGAAAAATCTTCTTTGCATATGTTCTTGCAGGTCTGTCAGGCATTCACCCTCCAGGGACAACTTCTGGTACAGTAGGAGAAGTCATATGCATGAACATTGTCTTATGCACACTGAAACTGTGTATAAATCTTACAGTGTGGGAACATGGGAGGGCAAGATCCCTGCTGGGATTCTGACTGTTCATTTGTGGTTCAGAACAAGTTATAAATAAAATAAAATTAAATAAAAATAAAAATCTTCTCCACATTGGCAAGACAGATCCCATCACCGTTAGCCCTGAGAACATTATTCTCAAACTGAGGCATAACCTCTTGGCTACCTTCATCCTCACAGAGATCTAGGATGAATGGGAGAAGTTGCTTTTTCAGGAAAGCTTTGTTTAGGTCCCCAAAGCTACAATGGGTACATGCAACAGTTAACCATAGCTTCTCCTTACATTCAAACCAACAAACTATGGTTAACTGCTTCCAAGCCAACCAACTTTAGGCTGTCTCTCCATATTCTGGCTTGCTGAGAAGCCATTAATCATAGTTTCCTGGTTGGTACATAATGAGAAGCTATTTTTAAACTGTGGCTTCCTGGCTCATTTCCCCATCCTATGAAGGGAACAGCAAAGTAGCTGCATGTGGAGGAGCAACGCTGGCTCATAACTTGGCATATTAAGCCAAGATTTGATCATCCAAACACAGCCACTGATGACCAAATGAGACTATGTGAAGGTAGGAGCTGTGGGGGTATACAATCTGCATGCAAACCAGGAATGGGAAGCCCTCTAGATGTTGTTAAGGCTCCAAATCTCCTCATTCCTGACCACAGACCATGTGAGCTGAGGCTGATAAGAGTTGGAGCCCAATGTTATCTAGAGAGCCATAGGTTCCCTGCCTTCAGTGCAGACAATCAGCTCACTGACCTGTATTGCAGTGTGAGAAAACCTATTGACAAAAATTAGAAGTAGAAAGCGGTCAAAGCCAAATATGGAGAACAGTTGTTGAACTGAATATGGGTCAGTTGTCAGGTTGTCTACATGCAGAATAGTGTCTCAGAACCATTCAGTTGTCAAACATGTTCGTGATAGTCTTCTTGACATCATCTGAACTGAGCTGAAAGAGCTACCTCTTCCATTCATTCCAGCTGTTCAGGAGGATAAACCTGGCTGTGCTCTTTGTCAAGAGGAGGTCCACAATGCCACACGTGCTTTCCCAGTGAAAACAGTAAGTCATGGGATCCATCTAGCACATGCAGTGAAGATTCTTCAGGAAGTTATGAACACCACCAGAGTCTGATGCATCTCTCATCAAATGCATCTCTCACTGATGCAACCCTGCATAAAATTTACTTGTAAGCAAATCCTACTTGTCTCAGTGGGGACAAACTTCCAGTTGCAAAATGCAGCTGTGAAACCTTTTTACTTTAAAGCTCTTACACCAGTTCTCCACTAGTTCACCTGTTAAGGCTCAGCCCTCGCCCACTACCAGGGATGGGAAAATCCAGTGAAAAGTGTGAGATAACTCTCGCTGCACTGCATCATCATCTAACCACCCCACCAACAAATGAGAATGCGTGCTCATCAGTTAACGCCATCCAATCTCCCTGCGAACAAATCAGTGTGAACGCTCAATAAATAGGTTATTTGGAGACAACACACACACACATACACAAAATCACAGACCTGTAATGGTGTTGACAACTGTCCGTAGGATGGTTGGGGGCTTGATCAGCTCCTTCAGAATGTTGGACTCAGTAGCCAATGGGAATCCATTGTCCAGCATCTCCTCCAGCACCTCATAGACCACCACGACATTGTCCTTGATGACAATCTCAGAGCAGACTCCAAAATAATCCTGTGTGTGGAAACAAGGTTAACAAGCCTCCTCAGGGTGTCTGCTGAAACAGGCCAAAGAGGGAGAGCTCCGCTTATTCCCCATGAAAAGAAAAGCCAGAGGTGGTTTTCCTGTGTAGCAAGGTGAGGAAGCCACTTCAAGCAGGAGTTTTGAGGTATCACTGGGAGCAGCAGAGTGAGAGATGGAGAGTCCTGGCCTATGGGATACAATCCTGGGAGATGTTCTCTTGACAAGATCACAAGGAACGAATGGGACCGCTTGGGACCAGGTTAGGTCAGCCTTTTCCATCCACAGTCCATGCAGGTGACTGCAATCTATGGGGGGGGGCACTGCTACCCATACCAAAGTCCATTTGGCATGGGTTCAAAGGAGGGCCTTTTCCATTGGGGAGCCCATTTTGTGGAACAAGCTCCCTATAGAGACCAGGTGAGCATAGACAATGGAGGCCTTTTGCAGACAACTGAAGACCTTTCTGGGATTCCTTGACTATTGGTATAGAACTCCTTTAAGAACATTTTAAGAACCTGCTGGATCAGGCAGCCCATCTAGTCCAACAACCTGTGGCCAACCAGAGGTCTGTGGGAAACCCAAAAGCAGCACTCGAGCACAAGAGCAGTCTCACTCACTGTGGTTCCAGCAACTGGAATTCAGACAGAATTTTGCTCTCTTGGTTGCTGCTGCTGTTGAAAAGTACTGTATATGGCTTGTTGATGTTTTAACTGGTGCTATTTATTGGTTTTATGTATACTGTGAACCACTTTGAGATTTATAAAATGTATAAATGAAGAACAGCATTTTAGTATTAAAAAAACACAGTAAAGTAAAATAATTGGAGAACAATGCTGGTCCACCTGGAAGTGAACCAGAGCACTCTGTAATTGTGGTGAGAATGCTGGAATAGGGCCAAGGAGACAAGCGTTTCAATGTCACCCAGCCATGAGGCTCACAAGGCACCTTGGGGCCAGTGACTATTTACTGACCTTACTCCTACAGGGGTCTTGTGAGGATAAAGTGGGAATATTTTGTGGGGGGGGCAGGGGGGGAGAGACCCATGCTTGTCACCACAAGTTACTTGGAAGAATTAAAGTATAAAACTATTAGAAGTAAGGAAGCATCTGGCCCTGTTCATTTCAGAAAATCACCCTGGATTGTGACCCAAGTTGGTTTGGAGTTTCCCAAATTTGGGAGGGTGGACTCTCCTTCTCCGTCTTCCCCGACCCTTTTCTTACAGTCACCAGGAAGCTACAGTGGTAACTGGAGGAGGAGAAAATGAGGCACATAAATAATGAAGAAGTGCAGAGAAGCATCCCTGATGCTCAGCTCATCAGATTACAACTCAGATTCCATCACTGGTTCTCATGTGCTGACAGGTAGTTAGAAAATTGTGGTGGGTGTGCAGTCTGAGCATGCCCAAAGTAAGAAAGGAGGCGAAAGCCATTTTTCTGTAAGGAAGGGTAAACAATTAGGAAAGACAACTGGAGCATCTCTGAGGTGGCCTTTAAATGGGGGTCTAGGAGTCTGCATGGCCAAGAGCCCGAAAGAAGGGTGGTTCTTCAGTGGTGGAGCACCTGCTCTGAACGCATCTCCAGGTGGGGTGGCAAAAGACTCCTTCCAGAAGCCCTTTAGAGCTGCTGCCAGTCAGTGGGACTGGTGGCAGGCAACCTGTGGCCCTCCAGATGTCGATGGACTCAAACTTCCATCCTCCCCAGTCACCATGCCCAATGGCAAAAGACTGCATGAGCTGCAAACATCTCCTGAAAAGCGGTCTGAAAGCTTAACAAATAAATAACAACCTATCAAACAAACAAATAAACAAACAGTCCACCATCTGGAGGGCCCCGGCAGTGTAGACCATGGAAAACTAGATGGAGCAGTGGTCTGACTCTGTATAAGGCAGCTTCATATGTTCCTAATCAAGAGTTGCCCTGTGACAAAACACAGAATCCTACACCAGTTTCTAGTCCTCGTTGCCATTTTACGTACCTGAAAAGTATCCACAACCCGATGAAGAAATTCAATGACAAAAAGCGGGGGTACCTCTGTCTGGATCACTGCCACAAAGAAGATCTTGTGCCGATAGACACTCAAGAGATAGTGGTGAGGGGTGGGGATCACGGGGGGCACATTTTCTGCCTCTGAGGCTCTTTCCTGTGCCTCAAAGAAGTAGTCACAAACCGAGCGGCTAACCACACTTTTCCAGTGTTTCTCAAGGAAGATGTCCCCAGAAGAGTTGATCAGGAAGAGGCTGTGAATCATGGCTGGTCCAACAGGGAAGCCCAACGCTGGAGATGCCTTGCCAAGTCCAGAGGAAGTTGGACTGTGCTACTTCAGATCTTTAAAAAATCAACAGTGACAAAATACATATTACTTCATTAGTGTTATTGAGGAAGACCAGCTCACAAGTGTTGTACTAGCACCTGGGAGACCAGGATTCAGATCCCAGCTCAAGCATGAAGCTCACTGTCTCTCTGCCTAACCTACCTCACAGGGTTGCTGTAAGGATAAAAAGATGGGATATAAAAGGAGTAATCAGAACAAATAAATCTCAGGACCAAAGTCATTTCACCCCACCTAGTCCTTATTGCCCAGCAGCCACAGCAGCTCCCATCCAGCTGCTCAAGATGGTTCACTGTTAAAACAGTGTTTATGGAAGACAATCTCACTCGGCTACGAGTGATCGCCAAAGAAACAGCAGCAGCAGCTCATGAGGGTGTTGGGGTGGTTATATGCAATCTCAGTTTTAATACTGTTTGTGCCTTCAGAAGTTTAAGGACAGACATACAGCTTTGTTTCCATGTTTAACTTCCTGCTGAAACCCTGTATCTCTTTATGCTGCAATGAGGGGCCCCTCCAGGCGGCAATAATGCAATAATGCTGAGGAGGCATCCCAGAATAACCAAGGAGGGGGAATGATGTGTGGCTGGTCCAGTATACACCCACCACTTATGCCCCATTACTGTGTCAATGACAAAACAAAAAACAACACACACCCCACCATCCCCCGCAACCCTTGGCCAGTCTCCATTCACATACCCTCTCATGTCCCTCTACTTCAGCCCCCACCTCCTCAAATTTCAGAGTGCTCACTTTATCAATCATCTATTAAGCTTGAGCCAGTCTGGTCCCTTCACTTCCAGGTGCCCCATTACAAGTAAAATACCTTCCTTTCATTCCTAGCCTTCATCCAATTAGCTCATCCTGTGTTAAGCTTTGAAGACTACAGCAAACTGAGAGATGGTTCACACTTGCAGTCACAACCAAGAGAGAGTTGGAGTGAGAATTTCAGGTGTGGGACCATGGCAGGAAACGTGATGTGATTACGATGCAATTGCATGGATGGAAAGTAACAGCGACAGTATTTGCAGAAATGGTGGTATGTTTTCTGCATGTACTGATCAGTTCCAGTTAGGCTTTCTCCACAGGGTCACATACCTTGTGAAGGCTTGAGCCTGACCAACAGGCACTCTCTCTACAATGACATCCATGCACCAATGTCAAACATCAAGGGAATGCACAGGGGCATTTCTGACAATGCTGCATTTATGGATCAGATTCTCGCTTAGGGTTTGCCAGAACCCAAACCTCAATGCGTTTCAAGAGCAGAATAAAACTTCTTTTATTTGTGCAGTTGTTTGACAGCTGGGATTGCAGACTTTATTTAAATTTACAAGAATGTTTCCTTTCTTTGCTGCTTATAATAAAATGCTAGTATAACAAATTAATGTGGTACCATATAATAATATACTATGTGACCCCTAAGCTCTGCTGTGAATTTCTCCCAGGCTTTCCCTTAGTAATCACCAGGGTCTCCAGCATCCACATTCCTGTTTTTCTATTCAGGGATCCAAAACTGCACTTGCCAGTCTTCCCCTAGAAAAAGCAAGGATAGCATTAGGGACAGCATCTGACCTTCTCTGCTTGGGAGGAGTGGAGGGGCCACATTGCACCTAAGAGGCACTCAGAAAGTAGACTTCTCATCATTTTCCAAATGGCTCTGAGGTTCAGGGCAACAAAGACAACACCCCCCCCCCTTCCCACCTCAAAGTTGGGGAAGATGTCAAGGTATTCTCACCCCTTGCATTTTAAATAAAAGCACACATTCTACTCGTGTAAAAACACCAGGCAGGCCCCACGCTGATTCCTGGACCGTCCATGGGTCGGATTGAGAAGGCAATTGGGCCGTATCCGGCCCCTGGGCCTTAGTTTCCCTACCCATGCTGTAAGTCAACCCCCTACGCAACACAGGTTGTAAATCTGCAAGCAACCCCAGCTGCAGTCTCTCAGCTCTCCAGAATAAAAAGCCCGTCCATGGATGTGGCTTGTCATTCCTAAAATCCTCATTACAACTGCATAGCTCACAGCTAGACATCCACAGGGTTGTTGTTTTTAAGAACCAAGAGCTCTACCCCCACATTAGAGCCCGTGCTATTTCCAAGGATTCCTATTACTATTATTCCTATTTGATGGTGTTTCCTGCTTGGCAGGGGGTTGGACTCGATGGCCCTTGTGGTCTCTTCCAACTCTATGATTCTATGATTCTATGATTCTATGATTCTATGATTACAATTGCCCCAGAGCACAGGGAGGATTTCTGCTAACTCGACTATTACTTAGTGATGTGGGTTAATAAAATAAATGAATTCCCCCTCCCCCATACAACTTAGGGAAATTTGCACTGAATAGTTTTCTGTTTCCATCAGAAGATATTGTGATGCATTGGAGTAATCTAATTTAGCACATTCATTTTACTTGCATTTAGCAAATAATTAAAAAATTAAAACTCCAAAGTAGCCTAATATTGAATTATTGCACTTGGTATCCATTCATTCTTAGTAACAAACTTTTAAAATGGAAGCATTTTCATAGAAAAATAAAGAGCTGGAAAATGTGGAATGTTTTCAACTCAACATCGCTATTACGGCCCTACTGTCTTCTAGGATGCTAAGCTGAAGACCCTAATGGAGCTCCTAAGCATCCCCACTGGGACACCTTCATGCCTAACATACCAGCACACGAGCCTGAGCCCCCCTCCCACTTACGCAAACACTCCCTTTCATACAACCCTCCACACCTCCGGAACGCAGAGCCCTATATCTTATGTACCTTTTCAACTCCGTTCTCCATAAGTATGCACATTGCAACCCCACAGATTTCACCCACATGACCTCATTGAATCCCCATAGCAACCTTACCAGGGAGATTAAGCCGAGACAGTGACTGGCCCAAAGGGGCTTCAGGGCTGTGTCAGGATTTGGTCTCCCAGGTCCTACCCTGACCAACGCTCTAGCTGCTGCACATACTGGCTCAAGCAGCCTTTGCCAAAGGTGGTGCCCTCTGCATGGCCACCAGCTGGGGCAGAGGGGAGTTGGAGTGGAACATCATCTAGAAGAGCGTTTCCCAAACCTGGGGCTCCAGCTATTTCTGGACTACAACTCCCACCATCCCCAGCTAGCAATACCAGCAGTGAGAGATGATGGGAACTGGAGTCCAAAAGCAGCTGGCAGCCTACGCTTGGGAAACACTGACCGAGGGCGCCACCTTGGCCAATGTTGCGCAGCGTTCCCCACTGGCGAACCCCGCGAGACTGCGGCTCTGAACCCCCAGTGGGCCGCAGCCCCGCCTTCCCGCCCGGGGGTCTCGGCCTGCGACCCTCCCAGCCCCCGGGGCTCCAGGGTCCGGCTCGCCCGCGCCCCCCGCCCCGGCTCACCGGACGCTTCCTCTCCTCGCCAGGGCCTTGGCCACGCCCCTTACCCCGGCGGTCTCCGCGGATTGGTTCGCGCAGACAGCCCCCCCCTCGCCGGCAGCACCAGCTGAGAAGGGGGCGGCGGCGTGGGGCGGAGCTCCTCCACGTCGGCCGCTGATAGGCCGGAGCGAAGGGGCAATAGCGGGGCGACCTGCCCGAGTGGCAGCCGCGGCGGCCCGTGAGCCTCGACCGCAGCGGAGAGCGGGGCTGGCGATTGGTCGGCAGCAGGGGGGCTCTTTCCTTAGCAACGGGCCGGCGCCCGAACCCGCGCCTCGTCCGCCCACGCACGCGCGGCGCGTGACGCTCAGGCGGGCCTCGCGCGGAAGAGAGGGCGGGAGGGCAGTGACGTCATCGAGGAGCAGCCGCGGCGGGCGCGTCATTCTGGCTCTTTTATGGGCGCCTGAAGAGGGGGGGGGGATGCCTGGGCCGTTCTCTTTCCCCAAGGGCCACAGGGAGCTTTCTCCCGATTGCAGTGCAGAGTGTTTGAGGACCGGGACATTCGCAGGGAAACCAAAATCCTTGTTTACAAAGCTGTTGTACGACCAACATTACTGTCTGCTTGTGAAACATGGACCACTGATAAACGCCATCTCCAGCTCCTCGAAAGATTCCCTCAACGGGGTCTATGAAAATTTGATACATCACTTGGGAAGACAAGCGAACTAATGCCAGTGTACTGGAATTAGCAAAGATCACCCGTGTTGAAGCGATGATTCTTCAACATCCACTTCGCTGGACTGGTCATGTTGTGCGGATGCCTGACGATCGTCTTCCAAAGCAACTACTCTATTCCCAACTTAAAAATGGAAAGTGTAATGCTGGTGGTCAACAAAAGATGTTTAAAGACTGTCTCAAGGCAAATATAAAAAAATGTAGTATAAACACTGACAACTGGGAAACACTGGCCTGCGAGCACTCCAGTTGGAGAACAGCCTTTACCAAAGGTGTCATGGGCTTTGAAGACACTCAAACTCAGGATGTAAGGGAGAAACGTGCTAAGAGGAAGGCACGCTTGGCAAATCCATACCATGATCAATTCCCGCCCGGAAACCAGTGTCCCTACTGTGGAAGGACGTGTGGATCCTGAATTGGCCTCCACAGTCACTTACGGACTCACTGCTAAAACCCTGTTTCGGAAAACAATCTTACTTGGCTACAAGTGATCACCAAAGAAGATTGATGCAGACTTGGAACAAGAGCTTAATGTGCCGTGATTAGAGGACTGTGGACTGCTATGCCTCTCCATCACAGGTTGTCTGGGATGGATGAAAATAAACCTGTTTGGTTGGGAGAAGGCTCTGCTGACTCCATTGACCAAGTGAGGTTAGCTTGGATAGATGGCTTGTGACTAACTTGTTCGGATTATGGGTTCTCCAGCCTCTGGCACTGGAATTATAGACCTGGGACTGCTTGGAGTGAGATGAAGACCCATGAGGATAGAATGACAGGTCTGGGACTGGAATGTTGGGTCTCTGGGACTGGAATGACAGACTAGGGATTCCACACCTGGAATTCCAGTCTCAGGGGTCATCATTATTTTACATGTTTGTCAAGATGAAAGAACCCTCATATAAGAATTTGCTGCTATCTGGAGAGCACATGCTAGCAGAGTCTGAAGAGAGGGGGCAAGGAGAGAATGGACTTCAAGTTGCCAAGGAAACAAGCAGGCAGGATCTAGGTGAGGGGTCAAGTGGTAGAGCGGGAGCCTGCACAGAGTGACAGCTTATCAGAAAGGGAATCGGAACCCATCAGTCACAGACGTCACTGGAGGGGAGGCTTACAACATAGAGGGAGAAGCAGCGCAGGAAAAAGACGTACTACCGTTGCTTCTTCCGTAGTAAGAGAAAGGGAAACCAAAGTCCAGTTGAGTCATTGTAGGCTGTAATGGAGGCTGTTCAGGAGCGACCTGCCGGACTTTCTGTTTGTTCTTTGCAATAAATCTTCCTTTTTAATTAGCCAGACTTGTGCATTTTAAGTGCTGCTTACAATGTTAGAAGTGTGAACCCACCACAGTATTTGGTAGATCCTGATTCAGCTGTTTGGGAAATAGTTCACTTTTGTCTGAAGCACTTCTGAGGTTGCTTGATTCACCTCAGGGTCCAAATCCAGCTCTGGAAAAAAATGAAGCTACTTCCTGCCCTGCTCAGTGTGGTGTAATGGTTAAGAGCGGTGGACTCGTAATCTGGTGAACCGGGTTCGCGTCTCCGCTCCTCCACATGCAGTTGCTGGGTGACCTTGGACTAGTCGCACTTCTCTGAAGCCTCTCAGCCCCACTCACCTCACAGAGTGTTTGTTGTGGGGGAGGAAGGGAAAGGAGAATGTTAGCCACTTTGAGACTCCTTAGAGTAGTGATAAAGCGGGATATCAAATCCAAACTCCTCTTTTTCTTCTATTATGAGGACTAAAAATGGATATAACATTTTCCCTCTATTGGCAGAAGTGAATGGAATTTGCAGGCATTGTAACCACTGCACAGTTCATATAGCAGTCCTAATTACAGGTGAATAGAACCAGTTTTGGTTTATTTGTTTATGCTGGATGTGCTTAAAGTTTGCTTCTTTCTAAAGGGAAACATCTACCACTTTTTAAATTTCTTGATAGAAATTGATGAAAATTGCAAACATAGTAGACCCTTCTGAAGATATCAGGCCTGTCCTGTCAGCTTGTGGAAAGATAGCTACAGTAGTTTTCCTACAAGGGCAGCCTTTATAGTTTTAAGGTGAGCTAAAAATGAACCACTTAATCTCCTTTAATGTTTTGTGAACAATAAATTTGATAATTGTACACATGGGAGGCACCCCTAGTTAAACAAACACACAAACAAGCCTGACCAAATGGCAAACCAATATGGGTCTATGTGCAAGGCACCTTTAAAGTTTACATTTTTTTTTTGTTTGGTAGGAGACAGCTAAAAATGATTTGATTCACTCCCAGTGGTTTCTCAGGCAATAATTTTATTATGCAAATAACATACATTGCAGAGGTGCCCCCTAGGAAAGTAGCCTGCAGAATTTCAGAGGCCCAATCTTGCAACATCCCTGTTTTTGCCTAGTTACAGTCATGAGATGGCAAGTATCTCTAGGACCATATACAATGGTCAGGATGGGTGAAGTTAGAATAAAATAGGAATATATACAATTGGTAGGAATGCTTCAAAATATAAATGCCAGTCCTTTTATCATAACCTTTTGAGAGGGTGCAGGTTTGACAGGCCAAGACAGATCATTGTACAACCTGGATACCTACAGCACTGCTAGCTACACAGTGCAATCATGCTTCTCATCTCTGTTGCAGTGGTGCCAAATTGATATGTCAAATGCCTGCACAAAAGCCTGTGGGAACTTACCCGCAAACCAGACTGCTGCTAAAAAAAGTGCAGAGACAACACCCATCATAAATCATCTAAAAAATCTAAGTACTGCAGTGTTTCATGAAGGCCAACAAATAAGGAAACAAATTTGGGACATAAGTAAAGGGTGATCCAGTTGCTTATGCCAGTGAAAGGTGCCTAGGAAAAGAGCAACACAAAGGTTTGACATGTACCTGTGGTAGTATTAGCCCAGCTGAAAAACGAACTGTTCCATGACAGAATGTCCCTGATTAAATGCTGTTACACATTTTCACTGTCTCAATGATTAAGAATGGGCCTATAACCTGGCAACTGAAGGGTGATGTGGGGCTTTTAAAAAGGGTGTAATGTTCTCTAGCTTCTGCTAGTCCAGTGGTATTTTTGGTTCTCCTCATCCCACCAAAGAGCTTTGGAAATAAATTGTTCTGATGTGTAAAGCAGAAGTTTGGAAACATCTGTTCTCAGTGTGAAAAGAGGATCCTTGCAATTTTTACTTTGGTGGACTACAACTCCCATTCCATCCTGTGCCTTAAGCACAGTGTTTTAGCTGGACCTGGGAAAACACCTTTTGGCTAAGCTTTCTATCGTTATCTTTCTAGCCAGTGACATATTTGCTCATTTGTTAAATGTTGTGGTTTTTTTATGTGAACGACATGCTCTTGGTGACTGTGGTTAATGCTTAATAACATCACTGGGGCTGCTTCAGGTCTCCATTTTGGGCCATGAAATCTCACTTGGCTGCTCTATTAGAGAGCCTTAGTCTGTAAGCCAAATCTTCTCAAGAGGCTACAACAACAACAACAACAAAACAATTTATACCCTGCCCATCTGGCTGGGTTTCCCCAGCCACCCTGGGCGGCTTCCAGCAAAATATTAAAATACAATAATTCATCAAATATTAAAAGCTTCCCTAAATAGGGCTGCCTTCAGATGTCTTCTAAAAGTCAGATAGTTGTTTATTTCTTTATTTATTTCATGCCCCTCACCAGCCTTGCTCTGCACCCTCCTCAAGAGTTTTTCCCTAGTTCCCTTGAACTGGGATGATGCTTCTTGCTTAACTGGACTGAGAGATTAGCAGGGTGGGGGTGTTGGCATAGAAAGTGTGACTTTTGCACAGCTGGAATGAAGCCCCTTAAGGAGTCACCTTAATTGTTCCACTCCCTTTTGCCTCTGATCCTGCCCAACTCTGGCCTACAGCCCCTGAAAGGTTGCCTGCAAGAGATTGTGCTAAAAAAAGTCCCCTGCCACAACTTTATGGTGTGTGCCCCTCCAAGTATCAGTATAGATGAAAGGTGGGCTCAAATGAATATTTTTAGTAATAAAGGGGCTCACAAATAAATAATTGCTGAGGTGCACCCACAATTGTGAGGCTTTCCAGCCTGGTACTATTGGCTAGGGTCTACCTGTGATGTCACAAAGGCACATCACAGCTGAGTGGCTTTGGGTGTGTGTCTTTTCCTTTTACCCAACTGAACACAGCAAGAAACACCTGTGACATTCAGCATTGCCCAATTTTCTTCCACCTGTAGGAGGCAAATTGTCAGATGGATGGAGGTGACCATCCAGCAGCAGGAGCACTAATAACTTGCTGAGTGGGATTGCAGCTTGAAGGGGGCTGATATCCACAGCTGGAAGCTGACTGATACCTAGTGGTAGACCTAGCAGAAGCTGGCAAATATTGAAGTCAGTGAAGTTTGTATTCAGATACTGCTAAGTGCTACACAGGGCACCATCTAGGGTGGCTCAGGGGGCCTAGCCCCCCAAAAAAAATTCAAAGAGGGGGTTGAGCCCCCTCAAAATTCTGCAGCATCCAGATGGACAGCTGCTGTCCCCCATCCCCAAGTGGGCAATTCATCTTTGGAAGCTGGTCTGGAGAAGCCAGTGGATATCTGTGGGTATGTGAATGGAGAATGAACAATGAATGAACGTGCCCGTTTGCATTCTTCATGGTTGTTAGCTGGCGCATGTTTTTGTGTGTGAATGGGAGGTTTCAGATGTGGTTGTGGTGAATGAATGCAATGTGTGACAGGA